CTAACACTATCATTCAGATATTTGCAAATACGACCCAACAATTCTTATAGCATTTAAAATCGTCGATACATTTTCATGTATCCATTATTGTCCATTGATCTAATAAACTCAACAAGGAATAAAAAGTAAATGATTGAACAACCACGTTCTCAAGGCTCAAGAGAGTTAAGGATTAGTATCGGTGAATGAGTTGCTTCGATGCATCCGGGTTCTTCGAATAATACTCGACCTCAGACTGTGAAAAATAGAAAAAAATAATATTAATTATGAGCTTTTATACCAAATATTGTAAATCTGTTATTGGAACCAAAATACAATAGAGTACCTTACGGACTCCTGTTATGGCAACCAAAAGCTTTTGTCCGAGCAACTCGTGGAGAAGTTCGTCTTTCTCCAGAGCTTCAACAGCTTCTGAGAGCGATTCAGGAAGTCTCTTCAGTGTAGCAGCCACATCGGCCGGATTTGTATCTGATGTTTTCATCAAAAGGAAAAAGGCAAAAGAACCATTCTTAATAACTCACAAATATGGAAGAGAAGAATGTATTTTTAAGAATGTATTCAAATATCAGAGGCATTTCATAACATATATGAGAATGAATTTTTTTTTATCAGAACTACATACTTAAAGACTATAATATATGAGAATGAATGACAGAAAGTTACCTATTGGATCAGGAAGTTGGAGGTGTCGTCGGAGACCATCAATTCCGGCAGCCATTATAATGGCCAAACTAAGGTGAGGATTTGCAGAGCCATCACAAGATTTTATCTCAAAGTTAGTAACTAAACCATCAGGAGCTCCTGGTGGAGAAGCTGTTCTTATAGCCGCCTCTCGGTTTTCTTTACCCCAACATTGGAATGCTCCACTCCATGTGTTAGGTTGGATTCGGTCATAGCTGAAAATTTAGTTATAAAAAGAAAATGAAACTTAACTAGTGAAAAATCATTCCAGGTAATTGTTTACTCGAAAAAAATGCGGTTATAGTAACCTGTTTGGAAGTGGAGCTATAACGGCTAAGATTGAAGGGAGGTGAAACAGAACTCCGGCCATGAACTCTTCTCCAATGGAAGACATTCCATGAGCAGATGATTTATCAGATGCCGGGAAGACATTTTCACCGTTTTTCCATAGACTTAGATGCACATGCGATCCAGAACCAATGTCACACAAATCATACCTAAAAAAACACACAAGCCTACATCTTTTAAAAAAATCACATTTGAAGCCTCTATAATGGCGGGAAGGAAACTGATATACTTTGGAACAAAGGTCGCAAGCAATCCATGTTTCCTTGCAACGGATCTTATTACTTCACGTGTGTAAACCAAATTATCCGCAGCATGAGATGAGACGGTGTGCCCAAGAGATACTTCAAACTGGCCTTTCCCGGATTCAGCATGAAACTATAGAAGAAATGTATACTATATATCAAGAAACATGATATGTACTTGTTATACATGGCTTATAAAATTATTTTATGATGTTTAATTTAACCTGTTCAACTTTGATGTTCAAGGACTCAAGCGCTGGTACAATATCATGGAAAATCGGAGATGCAGCATCGTATGAGGATGTGGAACAGTAAGGACCAAAGTCAAAAGGCACATACTCTTCTTTCCCTCCCCTTCAAATATTTTGAGCAGGACAAGTGTTAAAGATTATGAAATGGTTGGATGTAACAAAAAAGCCAAGATTCGGAAAACATATAGTCGCATACCGCACAACATTCTTGAGGAGATAAAACTCATTCTCAAAACCAGCGTTCATTACCTAAAAGGCCAATGAAACTTTGAGTTTAAGCCAAAACAGATTTTGACATAGAATGAATATATGGATAAATTTTTACCAAGTCAAATTCATCTTTGAGAACTTTGGTGACCCTTCTTAAGGTCTCTCTTGGACAATATTCCCATGCTTCACCAGGCTTCAGGAGCATATCAGCTAAAACCATGCTCTCTTGCTTTGTCCTAACGGTAAATATTATATGATCAATGTAATAAAGAAGAAAAGAAATCATGGAAAGTTCACTGTAAAGAGAAAGAACACGAGTAAAGTACCATGGTATTGTCTTCATGGTTGATAGATCTGGAACCAGTCTAATCTCACCCACACCGGTCAACTTAGACTCTTCTGCTGGTCCATCAGTAAATGAAGGCATCCCCATCGATGCAAAAGTCAGACCGACTCCATTCTTCTTCACACTTCTGTTAAAACGCTGCGTGTGAACAGTCTGAAACAATACAATAATCAGAATTCTTGTCAGGTTACTGTTGTTTTAAAGGAAAAACAAGTTCACCGAGAGAAACAGAGGTTTCCTCAGAGGAATTAAAAAAAAAAAAAAACTCACACGGCATCTTTGTTGTCCAGATGTATCAACCCAAATAATGCGTACAAAAGAACTAGTATCTTCTTGAACATCAGGCTCCTCCTCCACCAGTGACTTGGTAGATACTCTACTTTGTAGACTAGTAGGAGTTGTGTCAATATCAAGCTTATAAAAACCAATCGAGTTTCGTGAAAAAATGTCTTTAGCTGCATCAATAGCTTCCATGAGTGAGAGATCACCACTAGCACAGGCATCACGCAGAACTAAGAAGATAACCTCACGTGCTTTCTTTGCACCTAGAAAAAACAATCTCCTTAACTCTTTGAAAGTTGAAATCCCCTCAATTCAGTCTTGAACAAATGAAGTAGCAACTTGAACTCACCTAGATAGTAGGTCTCAGGAGATGCATATCCATCAGTACTGAACATCACCTGCAAAATCTCTTATGGTTAGCATTTCATGTGATGTGACTACTACTACAACAATGATAATGCAAGTAAAAGAGCTTAATACCATTCTTGTTTATGTTAACTTGCTGTATTCAGTTTTACCTTCTTTGTTGGGGCTAAGTCAAGGAGCTCCTTAACCGAAGACACCATACCATGGACGCTAAGCTTTGGAACCGCCAAACCGAAATCAAGGTAAACCTTTAAAAGAACAAAGATTTTGATCAAGAATTAACAAACTACATAACTCGCATGATGTTACAGATTACTGAAATGGCGTGATGAAAACCTGAGGATAAACTGAAGACAGATAAGAAGCTTCTTTTGAGAATGGATAAGACGCATGAAGAAGAACAATACGACACTTTGCAAATCTTTTGTCTTCAAGAAGGGTTCTAAGGTGAAGAGGATTGGACAACCGCAAATCCAAATCGCTGTCACCAAAACTGATTCAACAAAAAAAAAAGAGATTATCATTCTATGTAAAGTGAGTTTGTTCACTTACCCTGCTACGATTCAGGTTAGTTTAATGCAAAACTAAACTCTATTAACATCAATACACACAAAAAAAAAAAGCAAAGAGCCTCACAAAGTTGAACAAATCTTGCATACCCTGTGTGAATTTGCAAGGGCAAGTCGCTACGTTCAGCGACCTCCAAACTAAGAGTAAGAATGTAATCAATCAAGCCTTTGTTTCCAATACGGACAGGCTTTCCAGCTGCAGCAAGAAGAGAGAGTAAATGTGATCAGAGAAAATGCTATTTTCACATCTTGATGACCATTAGACATATTACAGGACCAAACTATAGCCATATCCGTCTTATACCTTGCAAGACTTGGACAAGGCCATTCTCAGCAACTTCTTTACTCACATGAGTATCAATATCCAAACCGCTACGATAAGCAGCAATGGTTTTCAAAGCAACAATCTCTGGAACAAGCGTGTCCATCCAAAGTCAAGGTAAACCAACCTTACGAATGTATTTTAAAAACCATATATAAACCACAGATAAAAAGGATATGAAACTAATCTTTGAACAAAGGATTTAGTGAAAGAATCCAAAGTCCAAGAAGAAGAATCGTCAGGGCTCTCCTCGTCGAGGATTTGCTCGGCAAGAGTTTCGATTCTTAACACTCGACCAACAAATGGAACGAAGCTTCTGTGCCATTCGATGTCATGCTTCTTGTCAAGCTTCAGTCCATCATCAATGAGCAGAGCAGAGATTCCAGATTCTTTGAAACACTTGGAAGTGAAAGAATGCAAACCCGAGGTTTGACGATGTTTCTCAATCGATTCCAAAGATGCTTCAGTGCCATAAAGCTGAGCAATTTCCCTCAAATTCCTCTGTTTCATAGACAAGAGATCCACAACCAAAACATTTCTTACACATAAATCATAGAGAATATTTTGATGATTACAAGTAATGTATAGTAAGCAATTCAAAATCTTGTGACGAATTTGGAGCTAAAATGGACTCAGAAGAAGCCCATTTAACTAATTAATTCGAGAGTAGAGTACTTAAGGAATATAATCACACACAAAAACGACAGCGTTTAGAGAGCTAATCAATCAAATTAATAGCCGGAAGGAAAACAGAGTGAGACGATCGTATATTCGTATCGTACCTTGAAGGAGAGAGAATGAGGAGCGAAGGATAAAGCTTCTCCGGTGGCTTCCGTTAGAGTTCCGATGAACGGAAAAGACGAGTCGAGAGCAACAATGTTGTGTGCGTGAGCATCAACGAGCTCTTCGTCATCTATCGCTTTCTTTAACTCCTTAAATTGCATCTCCATATCTCTCTGTCTCTCTCGCTTAGAAAAGAAAATCAAACTTGGGAAGAAGAAGAAGACCGTTGGATCAGCTTTGTTTCGTGTTCGTCTTACAATTTACGAAAAACGTATTTGAAGTAGAAGTAATTTCTCCTCTTTGATGGGTCGACATCGTTTTATGATGTGCTCTTAGCCGGTGGACGGTGTCTCTGACCTTTTTGTTCACGACGGAGATTGGTAGAGAAGAGCGATTTGTCCACGTAACCAACAATTAACCTCCACGTGTCCTTTCTAGGTGATGCGGATAACTTTCTCTCTTGCATGCACTGTTGTCTCGATTTTCTCGTGTTCTAATTTCCAATTCTGTTTAACGTGGTTTTATAAAGATAAACTCCGGTTCACATTGTTTGGTTTTATACTAATGAAAACCAAAACCACATCAAACCAAACTTATTTCTTTTCGATTCGTGTTGATACAAACCGGAAAATCCAAATCGAAAACCAAACCGAATAAACAAAAGAGGACGAAGCAGAGCAAGTTGTGAGCAAACTGTCTGTGTGGGTCTCCTAGGCAGAGGAAAGCTGCAGTTTTTTCTTCTCCACAGTATCTCTTTATCTTCGATGGCATTGATACAACCACCAATTCAAGGGAATTCTTCCGCTTGCGCCAATGAAATCATCCAACTCTCTTCTACGATTCGCTGCTTTTCACGGTAACATTCTCATATCTGTCTTGGTTTTACGTTTCTATATCGAATTTGTATTTCTCTACTATCTTTCTCTGTATTTCACACTTGCAGCAGCGCGGTTCAGCAACATATATCATCCCCTGCTTGTTTTCGACATGTAACCTCTGTTTCAGTAACGCCCACAACGTGTTCGACCAAAATACCCAACGAGCGTATAGGGAAAATGAGCCCTGGCCTGATCTCAACAAGACACCGAGTAGATCCTAAAAAGGAATTGTCTCGGATTCTGAGAACAGATGCTGCTGTTAAGGGCATCGAGAGGAAAGCCAACTCCGAAAAGTACAACACTTTGTGGCCAAAAGCTGTTCTTGAAGCACTTGATGAGGCTATCAGCGAGAATCGTTGGCAGTCTGCGCTCAAGGTACATCGCTTTTCTACATCTTTATGCATACAATTGGCTGCCGAATCCCCATATAGGATTGATTTTCCCGTTTCTCTGCTTTTATAGATTTTCAATCTTCTTAGGAAGCAGCATTGGTATGAGCCAAGATGCAAAACATACACAAAGCTGTTAAAAGTGCTTGGGAATTGCAAACAGCCTGAGCAGGCCAGCTTACTTTTCGAGGTCATGTTGTCTGAAGGATTGAAACCCACCATTGATGTGTATACATCTCTTATAGCTGTTTATGGCAAAAGCGGACTTCTAGACAAGGCCTTTGCCACGCTTGAATATATGAAATCGGTTAGTGATTGCAAGCCAGATGTCTTCACCTTTACTGTTCTCATCAGTTGTTGCTGCAAACTTGGTCGGTTTGATCTGGTTAAACGCATCCTTCTTGAGATGTCGTATCTTGGAGTTAGATGCAGCACGGTTACTTACAATACTATTATTGATGGGTACGGAAAGGCAGGCATGTTTGAGGAGATGGAAAATGTACTGGCTGATATGATCGAGGATGGAGATTCTCATCCAGATGTTTTCACGTTTAACTCGATCATTGGGTCATATGGAAATGGTGGCAACACGAGAAAGATGGAAAGCTGGTATAATCGGTTCCAGCTGATGGGAGTGCAGCCAGACATCACTACATTTAACATACTGATCCTATCATTTGGTAAAGCGGGGATGTTTAAGAAGATGAGCTCTGTTATGGATTTCATGGAGAAAAGGTTCTTCTCCCTGACGACTGTCACTTATAATATAGTGATTGAGACGTTTGGAAAAGCAGGAAGAATCGAGAAAATGGATGAGACATTCAGGAAAATGAAGTATCAAGGAGTGAAACCCAACTCTATCACTTATTGTTCGCTTGTTAACGCGTATAGCAAAGCTGGTCTTGTGGTGAAGATAGATTCGGTTTTGAGGCAAATTGTGAATTCAGATGTGGTACTGGATACGCCCTTCTTCAATTGCATAATCAATGCATACGGTCAGGCTGGTGATCTGGCTACGATGAAGGAACTGTACCTACAAATGGAAGAGAGAAAATGTAAGCCTGATAAAATCACTTTTGCCACTATGATCAAAACCTATGCTGCGCATGGAATCTTTGATGCAGTCCAGGAACTCGAGAAACAAATGATTTCCACTGGTGAGAATTCAAGTTTTCTCTTGTAGCTCTGTTTGATAATTGTATTTGTGGTTGTTTCTAAAATATGTTTCTTCCATTTAGTTTTAAGATGTATGCAAGAAGAATCTTATGGGGGTGATGTGATAATTTGGTTTGTGAATAGATATATTCGAGGCTAGAGAATTTAATGAATCGAACTTAAAGTCTCTAATGATGTTGAAACTGAGGTTGTTAATCTTGGTACAGATAAATGACAGATCATAGTAAAGAAAGAACTAGAAGACGTAGGTGACTAATGTTATTCCAGTAGTTATATATAACTATACATATTATTTGATGTAGTTGTGTTTTGCACATCTTTTTTCGTTGCAGGGTGTCGGTCCAAACCTTGCAATCAGGTTCTCAGCAAATGACTCTCTGAAAAATAGTATACCCATATAACTTCTGTAGTGACATTCCCTTTGGACATGGTGAGAAGAATAATGCAGTTGGAAGGATCTGGTGGGCGAGTGCGAGCGTATAAGACACAAGGCATGCGAGGGCTATACGGAGGAATGCTACAAAGTGGCTCCTGGTGTGTGGCATTGCCTTATCAAATGTTAAATGTAAATACATATAGCTAGCCTACAATGTTGTAAATATATATATAGCTACGATAGAAGATCACAATCTTGTTTTGATCCGTCTAAGAGCCGACCTAGAAAATGTTAAGTTTTACTTTTCTAAGAAAACTTTGAATTGAGTTTTGATTCTTGACCTAAATGGCAAAACGATATCCAACAAAATAATAGTATGTGATAATGTTTTCTAGTATATGTGGAAAGTATGGTATATAGATGTGTGTCATTATTACTAACATCTTGATCGAACATGGCTCCGATTGACTTCTCGTGAAAAAAGCATCTTGAAATGGGTCAAAAAGACAATCATTCTTTATAAAAGGTTCGGGTCAGATAAAGTCCGCTGAATATTATTGAAAAGAAATAAAAAGAAGATTAGTATTATGATCACAATCAATCGCGTTAAGTTTGGTTGACAATCAATCTGACTTGTCTAAAATAGTCAAACGGAGGGTTTGGCTCATGATGTCAACAAGATTAACGCATACAGCCAGAATGTACAAAATCCATAAGACAAGCATCCAGGATATGAACAACAAGCACAGATCAGTATACTGTGAATAACCTGTTTATCCTTTTTTTCTTTCTTTCTGGAAATCATATCAAATACAATCTTATACATGGAGGCCATCCCGAATGTTTTTGTTGCCTAAACCTCAACGTGATAACAATGTATTTGAGCCGAGCTGGCCTTTGTGGGGAAGCATTGAAAGCTTGGGTTTCCAGCCCTAAAATGATATACTGTATGTACTTTAGCGGCTTTTAAATCAACAAAAATTCTTTATAGTGTTAGTGTTAGTGGTAGTAGTCAAGAAAATGATCTAAAGTTACAAGAGTTCAAAGCTAATTTGCTGCAAATTGTTTTTAGTTTTACAAACATTATTAATTAGTTTGCTGCAAATTGTGTTTAGTTTTACAAATATTATTAATTAATAGCCCATAATTTTTTTTGGCAGCGATGAATCAATTAATCTTGCATAGCAGCACATAAACAAAAGGATCCATAAAATGATTTTTAAGGCATATATACTTGCGTTAGACTTTGAGACTCACATCCTCAAAGTAAATGTGTATACTGCACTATGTTTTCTACAATGATGTATTTTTTTTCCTCTCTTTGTTGTGTTCAAAAGTAAATGTGTATACTACACAATGTTTTCTATTTGCAATATTCAAAGTTGTCTATAATAGAATACATGACTGAAAAGTATCAGGGCAGGGCACACAAAAAACATAGAGGTCAAAGAGGAATTAAAACTGAGTTGGTTGGTCTTACAGTTGAATGATATCATGTGATTCAGCCATAACAAATTTTGTGCAGAAAAGAGTAATTAAAGATATTCTCCAACTTTTTATAGTGTCAACTTGCAAAAATAAACTTTAAAATGAAAATAAAAATGTGAAAAGGAGAGGGAAACGTATGTAAACAAATGTTGAAGTATAATTCATTGTGCTATAATAACAATATTTAAATGATTTTTTTTTTATCATTACAAAATTTTCTTTATTATTACAAGACGTTGCTTTCTGCATCATCTTCTTCAGAAGTAGTGTATTTACTTGATGCCCTTTGTGCACTAGGAGTCACCGAGATTATAAAACATTCATCATTTTGGATTTGGTTAAGGATGTCCTCAAATTTGCCATCTCCAGTTATCACCATGACGTTTTGGGGAGGATGATTAAAAACTTTCCATTTTTGATTTCCTCAATAATCTAGTCATCGCTAGCGTCTTCCACCTTTTCATCTAACAAAAAAAGAATCAAAAATATTCTTTCTGAATAAATAAGGTAGTATCTACGATCATGCTTCTTCAAGGCACTGTCCAGCTTACTAACTAATTCACTATCAGAAATTGTTGACTTCATGTTCACGGTATCCCAAATCCCACCGGGCAGTGATTGCAACCTCTAACTGTCTTGGGAGTCGGAAAAAGTAGAAGGGTACATGATTCTGGAAAGTAGCTCCTGCATAAATTCTAAACTCTGCAAGTTTATCCTCCATATTCACCATCTGTCCATCATAAAAAAAAAAACAAGTGTGTAAACATCAGTTTGTGATAGAACAAACAAACAAATAAATCAATCATGTTACTAAACATACCTCTTGGTGTTTGGTAAGGAAAGGACTTCTTGTCTTTACCCTGTTATGATATAACAACAACAGAGATTCAATATCAGATATTCAACCTAATAATGAGAAAAGGAGGGTGAGATAATTTTTAAAGTTTTGAAAGTTTGGTTGGACTTACTAGAGACAAACCAACATATAAGTAATGGATGAAGATGCTATGAAATAAGGTGCCCTCATTGCTGCTGGCCATTATCACTCTGCAACCAGCTGTCTCAGCACTTTTAACACCAGTGATGTATTGGGTAACAGATACGCCTAATTTAAAGATAATAGTATTAGAATACATCTCAGCTCTCTGCGCAATCTGAACTTTCATGTCATCATCTGCGGTCATCTTAGCATAATGCTCCTAGTCTTTTTGGTCTAAAGGATCCTAAATGGATATCATTGAGTACTCATCAATGATGACTTGTACAGATCCATAAGATCATCTCTGGAGAACTTGTTAGAACAATTGTTGCTCTGCATATTTCACCCAGAAAAAAGACAGCGGGAACCAGATATTCTGAGCATTTTTTCTTGATTACTTATGAAGCGGGTTTATGAAATTCGAGGAAAAAGCTGATGTTACCTTTTTTGTTGAAGTTCAAGCCGTTAGCGTTGGCATGCCTGAACATTTTGAGATAGTAATTGTTGTTTTGAGTGTATGATAGCTCAAAGCCACCTCCACATCCACCACCAACGTTTATTGTTTCAACAAAGAAATCACTTTCACAATCAGAGACTGAAATTCACACAGGTCGAATCATTAATCGAGTTATGCTGTTAAAAGGGCTTAACAAAAATTAAAGATCCATTAAATGATTATAAGGCATACTTGCTTTAGACCTTGAGGCTCACATCCTCAACAAAGCTTCATGAAACTGGTTTGGCTAGAGTTTTTAAGTTTAATTAATACATCATCCTCTCAGAGATCGTGTGATTCAGCCATAACAAATTTTGTGCAGAAAAGAGGCAATTAAAGATATTTTCTAACTTTTCATAGTGTCAACTTGCAAACTTGCAAAACAATTATGTAAATCATTTCCTCTCTTAGGAGAGCAGCCTTTTCAGCAACTCTGACAGCTCTTTTGCCAAAAGATTTTCTTTCTTCGTCGCCTTATGCCGGGTAGAGTTCAGTTTCTTAATATCCAATATTGATGAAGGCAAACTCCCATCCTCATTGATGAAATTGCGAGCTTCCAATAATGATTCCCCTCATTATTTTATTTGATAGAAAGAACTTGGTTAAGTGAAATAGCGCCTCATTATTATAAGCTCAGAGACATAAGCCTTTTTGAGTGGTTATTCTCTTAGTCCCACAAAACTAATTTTCTTTTTACAACTATTGGACCAAGACCATCATGACATGGTTAATATTCTTACATATAACTATAGCTATACTAACTACATATTCTTACGTAGAGTATCCTCATTCAGTCGTGAAGATTATTTGTTTTGTTTTTCTGATAGTGTAAGATGTTATTTCGGTCTCAATCCTATTATAGGCGAGAAAAAGATGAAGGAAAAAAAAGCAAGTTTACAGGAAGAAATAGTCAACTATTTGACATTGGGTTTTGCACAAATACATTGAACAAAAACAAAGAAAACAACAGAAGTATATCTATTATCATGTCGAACAAAGTTATGATTGACTGCGATAATACTAATCAATTTTATTTTTCACAAGTATTAAGCAAACTTTATTTGACCCGCGACCTTATATAAATAAATAATTATTCTTTCTTAACCCCACAGTTCATGATGCTTATTGACCAGAATTCTATTTCTTATTTTTCCAAGATGTTAACAATATTATCAACACTCTCTATACTTTCCACATATATTTAAAAATTATGTTGTTGAGTGTGTTTAATTTGTCGTTTGCGTTGGAACGACTCGAAACTCAATCAAAAGTTTTCTTGAAAATGTATAATTTTAGATTCTAACGTCGGCTCTTTTGACGGGTCAAAACAAATTGTGATCTAAAATCTATCTTGTATATATATTTTCCAGCATCGTAGCCTGTATATTACATATGAACGTTTATAAAGAGTTACCTGATTTTCAATCTTAAAGGTCTACCACAATGAGTTCCCATGATCCCCTTCACTTCGTCATAATTCCCTTTATGGCTCAAGGCCATATGATCCCATTGGTCGACATCGCTAAGCTCTTGTCGCAGCGCCAAGGCGTGACCGTCTCCATCATCACAACTACTCAAAACGTAGCCAAGATCAAGGCCTCACTCTCTTCTTACTTTATTTCTTCGACCATCAACATCGTTGAGGTTAAGTTTCCCTTTCAACAAGCGGGTTTGCCTGAAGGGTGCGAAAGTATCGACATGTTAGAGTCAATGGCCGATATGGTGAAGTTCTTCGACGCAGCCAACGGGATTGAGGGGCAAGTCGAGAAAGTTATGGAGGAGATGGTTCAGCCGCGACCAAGCTGCATCATCGGAGATATGAGCCTTCCTTTCACTTCAAGACTTGCCAAAAAATTCAAGATCCCCAAACTTCTCTTCCATGGGTTCTCTTGTTTCAGCCTCACGTGCATACAAGTGGTTCGAGAAAGCGGGATCTTGAAATTTATAGAATCTAATGACGAGTATTTCGAGTTGCCTGGCTTGCCTGATAGAGTTGAGTTCATTAAACCTCAGGTCTCTGTGTTGCAGCCTACTGAAGGAAGCATGAAAGAGAGTACGGACAAGATTATTGAAGCTGATATTGACTCTTATGGTGTCATTGTGAACAGCTTCGAAGAGTTAGAGGCAGATTATGCAAGACAATATAGGAAAGCACGAACCGGAAAAGTTTGGTGCGTAGGGCCTGTTGCCTTGTGCAATAAGTTAGGCCTAGACAAAGCTCAGAGAGGAGACAAGACGTCCATTAATCAAGACCAATGGCTTCAATGGCTTGACTGCCAAGAAAACGGTTCAGTGCTATACGTTTGCCTTGGTAGTCTATGCAATCTCCCCTTGGCTCAGCTCAAGGAGCTAGGACTAGGCCTTGAGGAATCTAATAAGCCTTTCATTTGGGTTATAAGAGAATGGGGAAAATATGGAGAGCTAGCAAATTGGATTCAAGAAAGCGGATTCGAAGAGAGGATCAAAGATAGAGGACTTGTGATCCAAGGTTGGGCACCTCAAGTGTTCATCCTCTCACATGCATCCATTGGAGGGTTCTTGACTCATTGTGGATGGAACTCGACTCTAGAAGGAATTACTGCAGGAGTTCCATTATTGACATGGCCTTTGTTTGCTGAACAATTCTACAATGAGAAGTTGGTTGTGAAGATATTAAAAGCAGGATTAAAGATAGGAGTAGAGAAATCGATGTTATATGGGAAAGAAGACGAGATAGGAGTGATGGTGAGTAGAGAAAGTGTGACAAAAGGTGTGGGTGAGCTGATGGGTGATAGTGAAGAAGCACAAGACAGAAGAAAAAGAGTGAAAGAACTCAGTGGCTTGGCAAATAAGGCCTTGGACGAAGGAGGATCTTCACATTCAAATATTACAATGCTCATTCAAGACATTAAGGAGCAGTCACAATCAAATTTGATTAAAGTAGAGTTCAATTATTCCTGCTAAGATTGTTATAGAGAAACCGGTTCGGTGCCCTCATACCGGTTATGAGACATGAATCTTGTATATATATATATATATATATATATATGTAATATATATGTAGCAACAACTCTCTAGTGCGGTTGATTAAGGGACATGTTGAAAATCTATACGAAATTTACATAGAAATAGAAATAAGGCTTAGATTTTTCATTTGTATAAGTCATAAATTGTTTTTTTTAATATATAAAAAAATGTTCTTAAAATAATATGGAGAATAAGGCCCAATTTACCGACAAAAGGTCCAATTTTTTTGTTTATTTTCTATGGTCCAAAGTTTTGTCGGAACAGATCTAATCGTAGGTGCTATGACAACTTTTTCACCAAAATATAATAGCAATACGTTAAAACCTTCACTTATAGAAATTGCTTAAACAGCAAAGATATCCATCATGGAGAATATACAAATAACATTTTCGGGATATGTTTCATTCATATTTACGATCTCTCAGATAGAAAAACTTGATCCCTCACTAGTATTCTTAAATTTTGGAAGTAGCGACAAGAAAAGGAAAACAAAAACTAATATGGCATATAATAGAAGACACTATATGTGAAAAGCATTACTGACCCTGAGATAGTGAGATTAACCTGGCTAATATCTCGAATATTGTTATATTTACATTCCAGTAAATCTAATTTAAAAGCCTATATAATGAGAAAGATGATTACCTAAAAGTATATATTATTCTAGAGAAAATTAACCATAAGAATGCCCCAATACTCTCAAGGTTGAACGAGTCTATGTTTGGTTTGTATACCACATACGGACAATTGAACGTTTCAAAGTGTCACTTTATTCATTTAAACAAAAACAAAATGTCCCTTTCAGACGGAATTCATTAGCTTAATGCCGTGATGTTTGGGGTTTATTTTTTTTTTAATTTTTTTTTAATTAAGAGTAGACTTTCAATATTATAACTTATATATTTCTTGGTATAAACGCTAGATTTATCCTATGTAGTTCCTTAACTAGTTGGTAGAAGTGTCTTGATTTATGCCTTTTAACAAACAAAAGATGCCTTGATTTAGCCCTTTAACAAAATAAAATTAAGGAATCTTTGATTTAAACTATATATATATATATTGTATACAGTGGCGGATCTAGAAAAAAATTTAGTTGGGGGCGTAAGTTTATAAACCGAAAAAAAAAATTAGTTGGAGACAAAAAAAAATTTTTACCATTAAATTAAATATATTTTGATTGAATTTACCTAAATATTTAAGAAAAAATAAAAAAGAATAGGGGGTATTTGACCCCACTACCCATTTACTACATCCGCCCCTGATTCCATATAAGAACTTGATTTCATGAAATTGAAAAAAAAAAAAGATCACGAAAATCTCGTTCATTCTAGCTTGTGATATTTGGAACCAACTAATGGTGTGAAATGCATGGACCTCAAGTTACGGCGAAGCTACAATCATAATTGGCAGTCTTTTTAAATGACAGTTTTTCCACGTGAGCTCTGATACAAATACGGTAAAGAGAATTATTGATTGATAATTTAAGTTGATTCATTTTCGTTAACAACCCTCTCTTGAGAACTCCTAATAAACGTACACCACAAAGAAAATTAATGACTCTCATGCAAATTAAAGGATGTGATGACGAAACTAATTATGTAGACACAAAACCATAAAAGGTTAACTGACTCTAACGTCCCTAATCGCCTTTAATTACATTTATTTACGAGTAACCTGATCCTCTTAGATACGCTCATTGACTTCTTATTTTGGCCACATGCTTAGCCAAGCTTGACCTGATCACGTACTTCTGCTGTTCTAGTGTTCTGCAACACCGGCATCATTTTCAACAAATATAAAAATTGAAGTTTATTTCTTTATTAATTAATTAACTTTTTCGTAATATTAATGAAGTTTTCAAACTAGTTTTCAAAGTAGTTTCTATAGATAATAAACTTTACTCACATTTAGTCTTTATATCCCTCTGAATTACGGATTTCAACTTCTTCTGATCCTTCTTCTTTTCTTTTTTTCTAAATTCCAACTTGCTCATATTTTATTTAATAAAAGTGAGGTAGATCACGTACGATTGTCATGGTATAATGACTAGCTCACTATCGTCATCGAAAAAATATTTTAAACATTTAAACAATGAGGATGCGTTATTGGTTCTCTAAAAAAATAGTTTTTTGTGACTTATTCAAAGTCAATGTACAGCTTTTGAAGACTTACCCAATTAATTAAGATGTCATCATATATATGAACTTTCTGTGTGTGTATCCTCTATGCCTTTATCTGTAGACATTTGCTAAACCCAAAAAATGGAAACTAAAATTCTTTCAGAAGCCAAAAGACTCCACTTTGTTTTGATCCCTCTCATGGCTCAAGGGCATCTGATTCCCATGGTTGATATCTCCAAGATTCTTGCGCAACATGGCAACGTCGTTACCATAATTTCAACCCCTCATAATGCTTCAAGATTTACGCATACAGTTGAGCGGGCGAGATCAGAGTCGGGTCTCGAAATCAACGTCGTGAGATTTCCAATTGCCTACAAAGAATTCGGTCTTCCTGAAAATTGTGAGACTCTCGACACTTTACCCTCCAAAGACCTCCTAAGGAGATTCTATGACGCTGTGAATAAGCTTCAGGAGCCATTGGAAAGGTTTCTTGAGCAGCAAGAAATCCCTCCAAGTTGCATAGTTTCTGATAAATGCCTTTTTTGGACGTCAAAAACGGCAAATAGATTCAAGATCCCGAGGATCGTGTTCCACGGAATGTGTTGTTTCTCTCTTTTGAGCTCCCACAACATCCATCTTCATAGCCCGCACCTCTCGGTTTCTTCAAACTCAGAGCCTTTCTCTATACCTGGAGTACTACACAGGATCGAGATAGCTAGAGCTCAGTTACCCGGTGCCTTTGAGAAGTTAGTAAATATGGATGACGTTCGTGTGAAGATGCGTGAAGCTGAATCAGACGCCTTTGGGGTTATTGTTAATAGCTTCCAAGAATTGGAGCCTGGTTATGCAGAGGCTTACTCTGAGGCCATCAAGAAGAAGGTATGGCTCGTTGGACCCGTTTCTTTATGCCATGATCGTATGGTGGACCTATACGATAGAGGAAACAACGGTAACATTGCGATAAGCGAGACGGAATGCTTGAAATTTCTCGATTCGATGAGACCAAGGTCAGTGTTATATGTTTGTCTAGGAAGCCTCTGTCGACTAATACCTAATCAACTGATAGAACTAGGGTTAGGGTTAGAAGAATCTGGAAAACCCTTTATTTGGGTGATTAAGACCGACGAAAAATACATGAGTGAGCTAAACGAATGGCTAAAATGTGAAATGTTTGAAGAGAGAGTTAGGGGAAGAGGGATAGTGATAAAGGGTTGGAGTCCTCAGGCTATGATACTCTCACATGGCTCAACCGGAGGGTTCTTGACTCATTGTGGTTGGAACTCTACAATAGAAGGGATATGTTTTGGTATACCAATGATCACATGGCCATTGTTCGCTGAACAGTTTCTTAATGAGAAACTAATCGTTGAGGTTTTGAAGATTGGGGTTAGGGTTGGGGTGGAGATTCCGGTGAGATGGGGAGACGAGGAGAAGATTGGAGTGTTGGTCAAGAAACAGAGTGTTGTGAAAGCTATAATGCTTTTAATGGACGAAGGTTGTCAACGTGGAGATGACGATGATGATAGAGAATTCGTGAGACGAAGGAGACGTATTCAAGAACTTGCAGTAATGGCCAGAAAGGCCGTGGAAGAAAAAGGATCTTCGAGGACTAACGTTTCAATCTTGATTCAAGATATTTTGGAGGAATTGAGTCACGAATAGAAAAGTCTAAGGTATTAGCTGATATATAAGAAAATGCAATTTTACTATTATGAAAATTGATGTCAAAACAACGAAAGTAATATATACTTTTTATTGTAAACATGCATCGAGTTTAGATCCGGATGATGATACAACGATGCTATATGCCTTAATTATCAAGATTTAATCTCGTAAAGATCTCTATACCATTTGATGGCTTTTACAAGATGCCTAATTAAAGGAGCTCATGTGAGGTAAGGTAAGTAGACTTTATGATAACGAGGTATTAGAGATTTACAGTGTTTTAACGTTGGTTCTGTTGGCAAACATATGCGTGGCTTTTGGTTCAAACTCTTACACTCGTACAATAATTTCCGAAGGGAATAGTAATGCATTCGAGCAATTTCAAAATTATCATTGGGCATTTTTTACCGAGATGTAAGGAGATTAAATAACTATGCATTCAAATTAACAAAACTAACTCTACGAAAAATAAATCCGCCAAAAGAAGCCACTAGACTAGATCACTAGACCAATAGTTGTATCACACAAATTAACCAACCAACCTTGTATACCAAATCAAATTAAAATATATCTTCGTAAATAACTATGATAAATAGATAAATATTTCCAGTTAGCCGTGGAAAACATACAATTTTGTTAGCAAGCACAGAACACACTTAAATAACATGATTAGACTAACATATTAGTTGGATAATAAAATAATCGGAGGGCGGTTATTCTTTAAATTAGAATATCTAAAGTTTGATTTCGAATATATATAGGGATCCTTTTTAAATATGCAGATAGAAATAGACGATTAAGTTATAACAGCTTAATGAAAACATACTCATCACTAGACGTCTATCACAATTTGGAAGCTTTTAGGATATGGATCAGAAGATAAATGCTTTAATACTACTTCTGAAACTCCAAGATGGTGTAGAAGTAATCAATGTAGAAAGGTCGAAAAGTAGAGAATCCAGCAGATAGACCAAGCTCTTTAAACTCTTCTTCGGTTCTGTGCTTACCTTTGGTTCTATAGATTGTCATGACAAAGATGTCGCCTTCTAACAAGGCACGAGTCCGATGACTATCATCGGTTTCCTTAGGCAAGACCGGCTCACAAGCGATCAGTTTTCCTCCAGCCGGTAAAGCATTGTAACAATTCTTCATTATCTGCTTACATTCTTCATCCGTCCATGTCGTTAACACCCACTGTGCACATGACAAACAACACATATCGATCATTCAATTCTGACGGCAAAAAAAGTACTAAATAAATCAAAGTATAACCAGTCACATGATTTTTGCCTCTACACTATTTGTCAATAAATCCAAAAAAAGTAAGTAGGTGCGTTCACGTGATGATAAATCTATAATGGTATTCACAAACCTTCATGAAGATTGCGTCACCGCTTGGAACTGATTGGAACATATCTCCACCAATGTGAGTCACTCCTAAATCATACAAATACAATATCAACAACTATAGTTATTAATTAAAGAACTACAAATAACATACGGCTTTCCAAAAATAACGTTTAGTGTCCCAATTTTTATAAAAAATAATGAAAAAATAAAACTATAATCCAGGAGAATATTCAAACCAGGAATCTTGGGGGCTTTGGCAACAACTTCTAGCAAATCAAAATTAATGCCACGACGAACATTAGGAAATTGCTCAATGATCATACGGAGACAATCCCCTGCGCTACCACCTACGTCAACTAAATGCTCCACAGATTTAAACCCATCGTAACCGTCCAATATTGCTTTCATGAACGGCGCAGATACACCGGACATCGCCTTCTGCATCAAACCGTTCATCTCCTCGCATTTCCCGTACTGCGAATACGCCGCCTCGCCGTTGGCTTTCACGTACGGCTCCGTCTCCGGCTCCATCACCGCCGTGTGAACAAGCGGCCACGCTCGCATCAACGCCTCCTGGTGGTGTTGGAGGACGTAAGCGGCGTAGGAGAGACCGCCGGAGTCGGTGACGAGCGTTTTACCGACGTCGGTGAGAGAGTATTTTCTCTCGACGGATGATCCGTTGATGTGTTCGGAGAAAACGCCGTAGCTTGTGAGCATCCGGAGTATGCGCTGGAGATTCTCGGGATCGCCGGCGATGGTGGTGGTGGAGGATGAGAGAAGGAGGCGAGGGAGGATCTCGGCGGCGGAGAGAGGAGAGTTGGCTCCGGCGTTCCAAATAGCGTCGGCGATGCCTAATTTAACGGCGGCGTTTAGGGACATTGGTACGCTGATCATGTTAGCGAGCTCCATTATTGCAAGACGAGCTTTGTTCCTACTCTCCGAGCTTTCGTCTTCCATTTTTTTGGTTTTCTCTGTGTGTGGTATGTGAACGACAAAGACCACTCCAACTAATAGGACGCTGTTTGGATTTACGTAAGGGGAGATGAGGGTATTTACGTAATTTTATTAATTCTCTTTCTTTTTGCCTCTGTATTACGGCATTACCAAATTTTAACCCCTTTTAACTATTAGTGTGAATTGAAATATATAGCTTCCTTTTTGAGAGATAGAGTTTTTTGTTGGTTTTTTAAATTTTTAGATGGAATTTTTGTGGTCGAGGTAAAACTATTAGTATCATATAGTATGTATAATTTTGCAAAGAAAATGACATCCAATTAAAAATAATGATAGAGGTTGCTAACTCACTCAAGCAATATAATTGTTGAAAAGAGGTAAATGTTGAGATAAGAGCGTGTATGTGGACATTTTTTAAAAATATATATATTTGGTTATTTATATCACTAAATACGCATATTTTTGTTACTATTTTGTAATTCATATCAATAGAAATTTTTACAGTTAAATGTGACTGAATCATTGAATTGAAGCGATGTTAACAATGATAACATATTGGAAGTGATTTTCAGTATTTGTATTGTGTTACTTAAGACAACAACGGGAGAAATTATTGTATTGATCTATAACTATAAGATTAGTCGATGAATCATTCAAATCTTCCGAAATAACAAACTGAGAGTGGTCGTGGAGGTCGATGACCATCGGGACATTATAGTTAGCCTTTAAATGCATTCACAAGCTTTCGCTTGAAAAAAGGAAAAGAAAAAAGACATATGGTTTAGTGGTATAAAATTTTGCAAATAGAAAAAGTTTTTTTTTTTTTTTTTGCAAATAGTGACAACAGCCAGCATATCATTATTATCTTCCAGACAGAGAGATTCTTAGAGTAAAATACACAATAAGATAAGAAATAATTGAGTTGTTGTGTTTTGAAAAAAAAATTATCCAAGTCCAATCTCCCATATTTCTTTTGTCGTTTATTTATGTTGATGGGATACATCATCATACATATTGACTTATTGAGATTTCAGAAACATTATTGTTACAGCCCAAAAAATTTGAAAAATTACTTTGGCGCAAGGAATATAAATAAGTAATATAAATGTAATTCTTATATTCTATGATAGAAAAATGTGATTCATAAAAATTCGATATCATATGATAATATTATTGTACGAGGAGTGTGGACATGCTCTTGGATAAATTATATACGAGTCAATTAGTCATGCTCTTATTACATGATCGGAGTATTTTTGGTTTAACAATAAAAACAGATTTTGGGTTATTATTTTAGATATGAAAAATTAGGTAACACCATTACAGTATTTAACCAAGGGTTACACACACCATAAACTCATCATTTCTCTTCCAGCTCTTCAATTTATGATTTAACAATAGTGCTTTAATACATAGATTGTAACCAGCCAATTGTGTAACACGTCCATCAACACCAATCAATCATGATGGTAACAAAAAAAAAAAATCAATAATCATAAAGACAGGTGAAAACAGATTCGAACTTCATCTTCAACGTTCAGGCCCTTTGGCTCACCTTCATATACAATCCCTGCAATTAATAATAATAAAAAAAAAGAATAATTAACAGCATCAGACAAATATGTAAAATGGGATTAAAAAAAAAAAAAAGACACTTTGATTAATCTCTAGTTTTGAGAACATTGTCATACATTGGTGGTGTGAATGGTTGCTCCAGTGGTCATGCTAATGGTCTGATCAGGGACGAGCTCAACGTTTAAGCGCTGGAGAAAGACCGCGAGTGCCACAATTGCCTCCATCATTGCAAACTGATCGCCTACACATTTCCTAGGGCCTCCACTGAACGGTATGAATCTGGTAAAAAAAAAACAAAATCATCAACCACTTCCTAAACTCATCTGATCAAATATTAACTAGCTTGTGTCAAAACATATGTACTGTACTACTTGAGCTTACTTGAAATCGGTGTTTGTTTCGTTAGGAATCGGTCCTTCTAACTCGAATCGTTCAGGCAGAAACTCCTCAGCTTTTTCCCATACCTTTAATTTAGCCAACACATAAGAAATGTGGGCTTAAACTGTCACTAGAGGGAAGGAAAGAGGACTTTACCGCAGATGAACGATGGACGTTATAGACCGAAATCATAATGTCTTGTCCGGGATTGACCTTGTAGTTCCCGGGAAGAATGTCGGGAACTTGAGCTCTTCTAATCAAAACCTACAAGGTAACACAAAGACATATCAGAAATTTCAGTTTATATATGGAACTAGAGAGATGAGCTTGATTTGCTTACAGGAGGATGAGGGTAGAGACGCATCGACTCGTTTATACAGCGAGTGATGTACTTCAATTCCTTTATGTCTTCATAAGCAGGGTTTCTTCCTGCTAAAACTCTGTCTACTTCTTCTTGTGCTTTCGCCAATGCGGATGAGTTCTATTCACATTAAATAGTTCAAAGTGACAACTACAATTACTCATCAGTGAAAACAGAGAAGCTTCCTTCTAAGTGGCATAGGAAAGTAGAAGCTACCAAAAGGTACCTTACTTAGGAGATAAAGTGTCCAAGTGAGGACTGATCCAGTGGTTTCATGACCCGCGACAAGCATTGAGAGAAGATCATCTCGTAACTGCACACTTGACACCTGAAAAAAAACCGCACAATCAAACACCAGCTTGAATTTGCAACAATGAAAGGCCAAGGTAAAACCTCTTCTCTGCTTGCGAGCAAGAACCGCAGGATACTTGGATCAGCATCATTTACATACTCCTCGTCATCGATTCTTTCGCCTTCTCTCTCGACAATTTCTTTGCACTTGCCAATGAGGTCTTCAACGGTTTCTCTTATCAAAGTTACAGCCTTTTCAGCTTTCACCTGTCTCGGGATTATCTTACACAATGCATCAATCTGAAAAAACAACAACGGATTAACAAGACTTCAATTGTGCCGCAATCAACAAACCAGTTAAAACACAGAACTTGCCTTCCAGTATGGTAGAAGATCAGTAGAACGAAGCTCAGCTTCTTTGAGAGCAGTGTAAACAGCTTCAATGACGGGACTATCGGTAGTCAGTGAATCGAAATTGTAGTTGAACAGCGACAAGCCAATAACGTCGAGAGTTAACTGAGAGAACTTCTCTTCCATATTCACAGCTCTTCCTTCCTGTGCATAAGGCTGCAGCTTCTCAACAAGCCTCTCTGCACATTTGCAGAATACTCTCTCCACAATCACAGACAAATACCTCTTGTGAAGAGACGGTACCACCGCTCTTCGTCTCGCCTAATACCAAAAAATTCAGACGCCAATGGTTTCAAATTAGTTCAAAACTAAGCCACAATACAGAAGATTTTGCAAACCGAATTTGCCAGAAACCTTGAAGCTAACCCTTAATTATAGAACAATCCTGAGTGGCAAGGGATTTAGGATTACTTATCACACAAGATTGAAAATTGAGTTTGGAGAAGATGAAATTTACCGTCCAAAGAGGTCCTTCGGCGATTGCAAAACCCGAACCGAAAAGGAACTCGGAGACTTCAGCGACTAGCCCTTTAGCGTACTTTGGATAGTTTCTCAGAACGTGTTTCGCAATCGCTGGGTCACTCACTACCACGAAATTCCGAGGACCAGCAGCGAGACGATAAATGGGTCCGTACTCGTTCATCCATTTGTATAGTGGTAAGAAGAGAGCTCCACCGAGAAGTTCCGAGACGTCTTCGAGCTTCGCGCTCGCGATTGGTATTCCCGAATCGTCGTTTTGTCCTGAGGAAAGGGTGCGAGTGAGTGATGTGAGCCAATCGGGGCTGACCCATGACTGAGATTTCGATGGGTTGGTCTCGGATTTGGGTTTTGGTTTCGGTTTCTCTATGGAGGATTTGATGGAGAATGAAGCGGAGAAGAATTTGGATTTCGGAGAGGGAAGACGCGTAGACTTTGTAATGAAGAGAGAAGAAGAAGAAGATGGAGATTGAAGAAACAGAGAAGAATACTCCATTCTTCTCGTAAATGTTATAGATATATCTCTGTGTATCAACCCATTTGATGAGCTCTTTTCGAAGCTTCGGTGCAGAAAATATTTGACTCTGTGTGAGTACGCGGGCCGTTAGGCGTGGATAAGGAAGACGATATAAAACGGCAGCGTTTAATTAGTTGGGCCTAACTAGTTTAGACTAGAATCGTTCGTATTTGGGCTTTGAGATCAATTCGGCCCGTATATTGACTAAAACATTGAAACGTTAAACCATTCCGCGTTTAGAGTAGTAAACAAAGAAAATTAAGGTTGTTTAAAGAAAACAAAAGTAAAGTCTCGTTGACCAACACACTTTTCTGACCGAAGTTCCAATATTCTTTCTTCGATCTTAAAAATTCTTTTGGAAAGTTCATAAATTTGGTCGATCCGGTGGGCAGAGAAGTATAAGGGAAAAGCTTTCCGACACAAGTTTTGTTTTTAAAGTTAGTCGGCGAATTCTAGAAACGATGTTCAATTTCTGGTAATAATCTTATTTGTGTTTTCGTGATTTTGCGACATTTTTTAGCTATCTGTTTCGTGTGCTCTATTAGTTTTTGTTTTTTTTTTTTATCGAGATTATTTTCTGATGATTAAGAAGGTTCTTGTTCGTATACGAGTATTCAAGACACTAGGTATGTTCGCTGATTAAGGAATGATTGTTGTGACTTTTTTGAAGTACTTTTAAAGGCACTTAGTGCAGTTATTCTCAGCTGTTGATTTAGAGTCCAGATTCGCTGCTTCTAAAATGTTGTGCAGTATAATCTTGCTACTATGTTGTAGTTCCATGTGAGAGTCTTGATGAATCGATGTTCTGCATATTTCCCAACTTGAGATGGTTTTCTGATTTTCTTTTGTAAATCTGATGAGAAGAAGTATTGTGATGTTTTAGTTTAGCTGTGCCTTTATTTGATATTTTATGTGTATGTTTTGCTAACATCAAAGGGGATCAAAAGACCAACAAGGACAATCTCGTCCTGCTGCGGAAGCTTCCTCTTCTTCGCAGCAGGCATGGTACTCGCCAAGCTCATCCCGGCCACAAACATCAGGTCAGGTTTCACCAGGCGAGGCAGCTGGCATTATCGCCTTCTTGAAAGACAAAAGGTTCGCTCTCTTGTGTGTGTGTTTTCTTGATGTTTCTCCTGTGTTGTGGTTTTTGTATGCTTTTTTTTTTTTTTTGAATCTCGTATACTTCTGCGGTAGTGTGGACGAGCTCAGGAAGCTTCTCTCTGACAAAGATGCGTACCAGCAATTCCTGCTCTCTCTCGACCAAGTCAAAATCCAGAACAACGTATGTCTTGAAAACAGTCTAATTTGTTTGTGGATAACGACTATGATTTTATAGTTCTAAGAATGTAGCTTCATTACTTATGTATTGAGATTATTGACTGGTGCTCTTTCTAGTCTAGACGTAAATACTGTTTGTTTTGTACAAAACGCCTTCATCACGGCATTACATGTTGAGACTTTCTGGTTCGTTGCTATAAGTCTTTGGACGCTAAAACCGGAGTAATTGTTTGTTTCTGTGCCATCAGATCAAAGATGAGCTCCGCAGAGAAACGTTGCAACTAGCTCGTAAGTTCTCTGTTGTTCATGTCATCTGACGAGAAACATTCTGTTTCATCAAGAAATCTAACATTGTCATGGTCAAATGTAAACAGGGGAGAACTTAGATAAGGAGCCACAGATAATGGAGCTCAGGAACCAAGTGGGTATTAAGAACCATATTTCCTTGTTCAGTTCACCATGTGTAAATAAGCTTTTTGCGTATCTCTTCTTAAGAAACCTTGTGTTACTCGTTTTACAGTGTAGAATTATCCGTACAACTGAGCTAGCAACTGCGCAAGAAAAGCTCAATGACCTGGAAAGACAAAAAGAAGAAATCCTCAAGTTCTACTCCCCTGGTTCTCTTCTTCAAAGACTTCAAGGTAACTTATACAACTGCAAAACCTCATCTTTCTTTACAGTTCTTGTGTCATCACTTCTAAACACCCTTTTGCGGGTTTTGCAGAGGCTATGAATCAAGCGGATGAAGAATCCGAAGCCCTCCAAGAGAAATTCCTAGAGAAGGAGATTGATACCGCTGCATTTGTTCAGAAATACAAGAAGCTTCGTACTACCTATCATCGACGAGCTCTGATTCATCTTGCTGCTAAAACCTCAGCCATCGGTTGAAACCATAACAAGCTTTTGTACACTGAACTGAAAACACAAGCACAACCAAAAAAGTATTCTGAAGGTTTAGAAGACAACCAAATTCTTGGTTTCTATCTTATGACTCTTATCTCATGTGGTTGTAAAGAAATGGTTTGACAGTGAAAATCAAAATTATGCGTTTTCTTGATATAAATAAATAAATAAAAGAAAACTACAAAGTCTGAAATCTCTCTGCAATCTGATAAAAGAAACTACAACGGCAATCTCAGAAAACAAAAAGCCAAAGTTTTCTTCAAACAACTTGTGTCTTCCTTGGGTGTGTTTTTTTTGTTTTTTTTACTCATCGAGCAGACCAGCTTCCTTAAGTGCGATCTTGTACTCTTCCTCTGAGTTCCAAGACTTGATCTCCTTAACGTGCGCTCCAAAATATTTCTCAATCTTTTCCATCACCTCGATATCTCTTCTATCATCGAGAAGCAGGTTGAACACAGCTCCTGCGTGTAGAAAGACACAATTAATAAATCGATGAGAGAATCGATTGTTATTAACTTATGGCAACACTTGAGGAAAACAACAAGGAAGAATCGATACTCACCTTTACGGCCAAAACGGCCAGCTCTTCCAACTCTGTGAAGGTAGACCTCATAATCTGGCTCCCCACCGGAATCATGTTTAGTAGGCATATTATAATTGACAACCAAATTCACCTGCAAGTATTGCATAACCGAGCAAGAGGCATTTAACTAAGAATCATTTTTTTGGGGAAAAGAAGATGAAAGAAAAAAGGGTCGAAGGATAATATATTACCCGCTGTTGGTCAAAACCTCTTGCAATGACATCGGTTGCAATGAGAACTTGAGTTAGGCAGTCTTTGAATTCTTTCACTATCTTATCTCTGTCCTCATTCTCCATACTACCATGAACACTGGTGACATCATATCCCATCTCCGCAAGAGCTTTGTGCAATTTGTTTGCTGACACCTTCGTTCTCACAAATATTATGGTCTGGCCAATATCCCCAAGCTCCATGATCTGATCCTTGATGACTTCAATCTTGGTTTGCTCATTTGGGCAAACCACTTTATACTGCTTTACTGAGTCCAAAGCCAGATCCTCTCTTTTTACAAACAGTTGGTTGGGGTCCTTGACTGTCCTCGCGACAAAATCTTTGACAGTTTCGTTAAAAGTTGCCGAGAACAGAAGAACCTGTTTAGAAGAGAGAAAGAACACAAGCACATAAACAAGTTCAGCACGAAGAAAGTAAAACCAAAAGGGTTTCCTTTAAACTGAGACTAACAGCCATGGAGATAATAAAATAACCCAGTCTTTGACAGTGAACACAGATTCATCATCGTTTCAACATGGAGATATGATTTATTACTTATTATAACATAAGGGGCTCTATACAATATAAAGAAACACAGCTGAATTGCTTCTATTTACTAAGAGCTTCTGAGCATTGAAACAGAATGCTCGAGTGGAATATCGTTTGCACCCAAGATATCATGGTAGACATACCACTAGAAATTCATAGTCATCCTAATTATAATTCAATAATCATGTCTGAACATACCTGAAAAGTGGGATTAACTCTCTCAATGTCTTTCATTATCCTCAATGAATCATCCCTAAATCCATCCTGCAACAGCAGTGAAATCGCAATTATAAACATATGAAGGGAAAATATGGTCACAGAAGTAAATCAGTAAAGTTAAGAGATTCACAAGGCCGATCAAAGCAGAAACAAAGAGCATACCGTAGCAAGCATCTGGTCAGCCTCATCAAAAACCAGAATCTTCAAATGATTTAGACCAAGTTTCTTAAAAGCTATCCACTTTTTAATTGTCCCAGGTGTGCCAATCACAACTTGGGCAGAAACGGCATCTCGTCTCATATTCGATACACCTCTAGTCCTCTCTGGGACAGCAACTTCAACAGCGATCCCAGTAAACTTCCCCATCTTCTGAAGAACTTCCACATTCTGTCATTCATATCAACCATCCATACATGAATTAAAGATCTTTCACATGTTGATCCCAATTCAACAATCAACTACTCTCAGATCATCAATCAATAGAGTAACTAAACTAACCTGGTTTGCTAATTCTCTGGTGGGGCAAATGCAAAGGGCTTGAGGCTCTCTCAGATTTGGGTCAACACGACTAAGCATTCCAAGAACGAAACAGGTCGTCTTGCCGGATCCGTTATGCGCCTGAGCAATCAGATGCTTGTGAGGGGGTGTCATAATCATAGGCAAACTGATTGCTTGGATCTTGCTCGGCTTCTCGAACTTCATCTCTACATACAAGCCTTTCATCAACTCAGGCGATAAGTTCAAATCTTCGAACCTACTTGCCGATGTATATGGTGTGTCACCAGAAGTAACCTACAGAGAGTGCGAAAAATCAAAATCAACCAAATCAATCTGGGAAACAAACAATTCTAGACTGATATTGGGATCATCAAAGAACTACTTTGCATCAACGATCCATAAAAACCGAATTTTGTTTCCAGTAAAACCCAGATCTAAGCTTGAACACAATCGCAATTCACTAAACGGAAGAAATCCAGCAAGGGTTACTAGTAATACCGCTTTGATGTTGGAATCTTCGGGTTCTTCAAGCACAGATTCATGTTTCTCTTCCTCCTTAATACTCAAAGAATTGAGCTCCGAAACTGCGTTTGCTTCCTCTTCATCGTCATCCTCAACATCGCCCCACTTTTTCTTCTCCGTCGTGGTGGGCTCTGTCTTCTCTACGGCGATCGATGCTTCCGCGGAGGATGAAGATGACTCAGCGGCGGGGACTTTCTCTGCAGTATCCGCCATTCTGTAGCCCCAGACCCAAAAATTTAGAAACTAAAATCGACAAACTTAAAAAACCAAATGAATAAAAAAGAAAAATTTCCATTATTCCGTGAAAGAGTTGAGATTCTGAGAGAAGCAAAAACCTGTAAAGTAATAGAATCTAGGCTGCGAATCCGCGAAATCAGAGAGAAGGAAGACCACGAACAAGAGAAATCGTGTTGATCTATTTGTCAGGGAAAAAAAACCCAATAAATATCACTACCGGCTGCTTTATTTTCAAGCTAGTGTACAAAGGAAATAACCGACTTTACCACCTTTTTTTTTCAATTCGGTCGGTTTATGTTTTTTTTTTCATTACAATTTGGTTTGCTGTCCAAATAAACTTACCTTTTTAATACAGAAAAAAAATTCTCTAAAATTAAGCCTTCAATTACTAAATCACTTTGGGCTTTATATTACGAGAAGCCCGTTTCGAAGCGGTTTAAGAACATTAACTTTTTAGTGGGGGGGGGGGGGGGGGGAATAAAAACTGTAATTGTGGTCGTTTTGGTTCTAACATATTTTAGTTTCAAACTATTTTCATGTGGTCGTTGGTGGACTGATCATGTGTTAAACGATAATTTACCCTCGTTTTGGTTAGTGTAGAGTGTAGTGTTGACTGTGTAGTTAGAGGTCCTTTTTTAGAGAGTAGATATTGGTTTTGATTTCATGTTTTTATTGTTAGAAATTTCCTTTTCGGATAAGAGCATGGATTATCGATAATTGGACATCCGGAGAGAATCATCTAATCAGATTTTGTGTTTAGGGTTTAGGTTTCTTTTTTCGATGAGGCCCGACAAGAAACAGGCACAAGCGAAGACCACTTGAGCTAGAGATGCATGTCATCGTTTATGTATATTTAACTAAGGTAAATTTAAAAATTTATGTTAAATAGATTTTCTTAGTTGTATTTGTTTTTAGTGCCAAAGAAGCAAAATAAATTTTTATAAATGTTTCAGTCAGCCGTCTAACCGTCTAAGCGACCATTAGATGTACAGACAAAATTCGTTGGTTTTTTGTTGTTGATTGTTTAACCAATTTTATCAAAATCAGAATGATTTTTTTTTTTTTACAAAAGAATCAGTCCATTAATTCGGGTTTATAGGCAACGTATAACCAAAATTTTGTATTTACAAGTTTGCATTAAAATAGGCAATTTTCTCTTATTTTGGTGCTTCTCCAAGGCCATTCTATCAAGTAGAAATTTCCCGTTTTTGGGTTTAAAATTCTATTGAATATAAGAAAAGAGCCATGATGGCTTATGCACGATATAAGAAGGAAAAAAAAACACAGTCTTTGAGGTGCGCAAAGTGGATGCCACATTACCTGCAACATTATCACAAACAGCAACAAAAAGTTGGTGGAGGCCACACTTTGTTATAATGACATTTTGGCAAATATTCAACTTTGTTTTCTTCAAACATATACCAAAAACCTATATTCATGCCTCCAACGGTTCAACAAAAACCAAATTTGATTAATGAAGAATTGAGCAAATCAATTAATCAATACAGATGATCTCTCAGTCCCCCATCTGCTTGTCATTATATAACAACCCTCCAAAGTTCAAACCAAACAATCGATCGCTTTGAGATTCAAATCGAGTAAGAGGAAGGCTTTGTTGCATTTTGAAACCTTGCTATGACGGAAGTATTGTTGCCCATGTTCCAAGACCACCGACCAAAGAGATTGGCCTCACATATAATTTTCACCTACTCTGTTGCACTAACAAATGCTTTTTCTTTATCTTAAACATAAGCATGAGGAGAATGATTATCTTTGTATGACATGCATCATTTTCTTAACTCCATTTTCTTCGCCACTAATAACTCTCTCTCTATCCCTCTCTCTCTCTATCCCTCTCTCTCTCTCTCCCTCTGTCCTAACGGTCTGATTGCAATAGACAAGAAGGAAAAAGGAATGCAAGAGATGGGAGCTTCAGGGTTTATAGTTCTTCTCTTGGTTTCTTGTTTCTTCAGCAAATCCAGAGGGGCGGTTGTTCCTGCACTCATCATGTTCGGTGACTCCATTGTTGACGTTGGCAATAACAATAACTTATTCAGCATTGTTAAATCAAACTTCCCTCCGTACGGCAGAGACTTCATCAACCACAGACCCACCGGAAGATTCTGCAACGGAAAACTCGCTGTGGATTTCTCAGGTGAAGTTTTCTTTTATATATAAAACCACTGACCACATCTCTCTCTCTCTCTCACACACAAATTCATATGCTTTATCTCTCCTTAATCTAATTGGTTTTTATCTTCCTACTCGTGTCTAGCTGAGTACCTTGGCTTCTCTTCATACCCACCTGCATTCCTAAGCCGAGAAGCAAGCAACGAGGATCTCCTTATCGGTGCCAACTTTGCATCAGCTTCTTCAGGATACTATGATGCAACATCTGTTCCATTTGTAAGAGAAACAGAACAGTAAAATTAACATCAACACACACATGCCCAAGTAATGATCCACAAGGCTTTGCTCTTCCTTTTACAGGGCGCGATCTCCTTAACACGACAGCTGAGCTATTACAGGACGTATCAAAACAGAGTGACGACCATGATTGGAAAGGAGAAAGCACGCGTGCTGTTCTCTAAAGCTATCCACATTTTGAGCGCGGGATCTAGCGACTTTCTTCAGAACTACTACCTCAATCCTCTGCTCAACATCATATATACACCTGATCAATTCTCAGATATTCTCATGAGATCCTACTCAAACTTCATCCAGGTACTTTCAAGTTTAGTAACAAACTTTAGAACCTAATATTCTTAACAAGTCAACTGTATGAATGTGCAAATTTACAAGAACCAAACAACTCGTTTCAGTTATTTACCCTTTTTTGTGTGTCAACAAGAATTATACTGTCGCTTGTAACAGAATCTGTATGAACTAGGAGCAAGGAGAATCGGAGTCATATCACTACCGCCAATGGGTTGCCTGCCTGCAGCTATCATTCTTTTCGGTTCAAAAAACACGAGTTGTGTCGAGAGGCTGAATAATGATGCTGTCATGTTCAACACCAAACTTGAGAACACAACCCAGATATTGATGAACAGACACTCAGGCCTCAAGCTCGTCGCCTTTGATGCCTACCAACCTCTCCTGGACATCATCACCAACCCATATGACAATGGTATATGCCCCTGCAAAGGCAACTTTAAATACTTATTCAACTTAAAACCATGATACCGTTAGATATTTAGCGGAAGAACTCCTCAGAGAACTAATCTTATAAGCAACTAACAAGATACCGCTAACAATTTTAATTATATAAACTCCTTCTAATTACAGGATTCTTTGAAACAAAAAGGGCATGCTGTGGAACAGGAACAGTAGAGACATCGTTCCTTTGCAATTCTCTATCCAAAGGAACGTGTTCAAATGCCACAGGATATGTGTTTTGGGATGGATTCCATCCCACAGAGGCTGTGAACGAGCTGTTGGCTGGTGAACTATTGGGTCAAGGAATTTCTCTAATCTCTTGAATTGAATTCCATCTCGTTTGGATTGAATTCAAATTGTATACCTACAAATAGCTACCATTATGTCTCTCGCTCTTCTCTATCTCGTGTGTGATGATGTATCTCACTTTCATAAACCAAAAAAAATAAGAGACAAGAGTGTGTCTGTGTGTGTGTATGTGTGAATGTAGAAACTACCGATTTGGTCTGTGTGATGGGTCTATAGGTCCAAGCTTTGTTAGAGAAGATCACCATCTGGTGGTAATTTGTGTTTTTAATTTATCTCTGGAGCATTTCTACGATTCATTGCAACAAGAATTTTGGTAAAGCTATAAATATAGCAAAGTTTACTGATATGTGAACATCATAAAATATTCAGGTCAGGTCAAACATATAAGGTTTGAGTACTTTCCATATCACATTAGTTGATTATCATATACCAACTACTAATAAGTACCAAATTCTCGATATCTTAAGAAAAACCAAACAAACTATATGCACCAGTAGCGATATAACTGACGAGTAAAACACAAATACCTGGTCAGAGGTCTCTAGGAGAGTTCAAATCCTGCATTTGAAGTAATCGCGTACAATAGTTTCTCCCTCATAGTGCTTGCTCGTTTATACGTTGGAAGCTGAAGCCATCCACAAATAAAGATTAAACAAAACAGGTACATGAATCTTCGCAAGTAGACAACAGAACAATTGAAACTCCACCTTAAGAGTATTGTAGCACGTAGAAGCAGACGGAAGCCTTTCTACATCTTGTCCTCCAATAGCCGCCCAAAGAGAGGTATCACATGAAACCTTCAGAAGATGTAAAAGCACAAATGTAAAGAAAAAAAATACCAAACAGAGAATTTCACATAATTTTTTAAGAAACTAAAGTTTCAAAACAAACTTTATGGATGATGAAGGTTGGCTGCAAGTATTTGAAACCAAGGAGTGGTGCCCGAGAACAACTAGTCACAAATTTGAGGAGCATGCAACGTTCACTCGGTTCAAACCCTTTCATCACCTGAGACAGGATGCCCAGAGAGAAATTAAACAAACAACGAAAAGTCTGCGTATGACACAAATCGGCAGACAGATTAGGAAGAAAAAGAAGAGATCAGGGCTCCTGAATTTGATTCATTACCTCCCAAAAGATTTTGATTGTTCGACTGCTATCAGTGTAACCACCAGTGTATTTTGTATTCCTTCTTAGGTCATCAACATCAATATCATGGTTTCCTCCAGAGAGTAACTGCAAAACATCATTTTTGTAAAATGATAGTTTGGTACAATATAAAACTCTAGAAATAATTACACTAAAGCCGCATACCTGGTTGAATTCATGGGCGTTAAATAGTTTCAGCCAAGCAGGAGATATAAGGTCGGTCAATCCTCTGTAAAATGCATTTGAAAAGGGGACAATCTGCATTCAAGACATAGGCCAACATGATTAACTCATTATGCAATAAATATTTTTTGCAGGATGATCAACCTTCGATTAAACGGGAGAAAAAGAGACGAGACCTGCCGGTTGAGTTTATAGTCAGCCATTGCATGAATATATTGCATTTTGTTCTCATTCGTAACTGAAATATCCTTCCCACCGGGCTTAAGCTCAATTATGCTCATTTTCCCACAAAACTCTTCAGTGACTGTGAAATCCAGACAGAGTTCCTTCAAATCACCATCATATTGCTGCATACAAACAAGAGTCTCGATCTCAGAAACCCTCTCTTGTGATACTTACACAAGATTGAATGTTGACATATGAGGTGACAGATATATCACCTGTGATGGTTTTTACCTTGATATACATAAGGTTCCTGTAGAGCTCCGGATCAAGCCCTGATAGTTCATCAATAAAGCTATAACGTCCCAATAGCTTCTGGATGAAAACGTGTGAAAAAGAATAATCCAGAAGTATTCCCTCATATAGAGCTTTTCCAACAATTCTTCCAAGAAACTCAATCATCTGAATCCCGTTCTCAAGGTGCCGAGCAGATGGGCTAGGAACAAGCAACCTATCTGACGTAGTCGTTTGTGAAAATAACCCATACCTTGTGGAAAAGAATAAAATGGCATGTCAATAAACACAAAACTTAACCCATCGGACAAGCAACGCCATACACTAGAATAAAGTACATATACAGAAGAGCTTACTCGGTAGCAAAAGCTGCTTTTGTTATGTCAGTCAAAAACTCTTTTGAAAGCCCACCATAGTCTAGGCCAGCCTCAGGAAGGCCAGACTCATTCACAAACGAGACGTGGATGGAGGATTTTAGCCGGCTACCAATAGAATTCAGTTGTCGAAATCCATCCTCAACCACATGACCTCGACGAACGACTATCTCTATTGACCTCGCACCAGGTGCATCCACTTCACCAGCCATTTTCCTTGACGCTTTATCCATGCTTATAAACTCTCTAAACACATGGACCCTGCAGGGATAACAAAACATGTAAATAAACACTATTCAACAGATAAGAAAAGTGAGGAGACAGGTAATAGTTAGTTACAAGTTTATTGTGGCATATAAAAGACATGGATAGGCTATAAAGAGTAATCGATGTAAAAGTACCTTTCCTCAAATGGAAAGGCATGCGGAGTAATTGTTATAACAGAACCCATGCTTGGAGACGTATGAACATCACTGCCAGGTAAAACCTCATGAGTTCTTGCAGCAAATGCAATTGGAGGTCTACTAGTTCTACCAGGTGAGAGCCACAAAGCAGAAGGACAAAAAGGGTGCCTGCAATCTCTTTCATACAATAAATGCAAACATCTGATAGCAGAATCCATCAGTTGTCTATTCTCAGGACCTGTGCCTCGCAACAATCCATTATACACGAGTGTGTTAAGCATTGACGCAATTCTGCGTTGCTTTTCTAGCATAAAGGGAACCTATATCATGCCAAAACAAATAAAGTTACCTCCAGTAAATATCAGACTAATATAATATAAGCTGCAGGAAAACATGCTGTGTGTTTACCTGCTTCTCATAAAACTGTATGTCATCAAGAACAACGAGTAAATGCGCATAGGTTGCACAAAATAGCTGAAGTAGGCATGCCACATCTTTGGAGATACCTACAGGACCACCCCTCAGAGTTTCCACATCCCACACATCATCAGTTGACCCTTTAACCTGGCTTGATTCTGGTTGATCACTAGCACACTCCACACGTTCCCGCGGTCCGGGTGATTTACCAGAAAACTTGTTTAGCACATTCACCCACTTGTTAAATCCGTCGTTCTTAAGATGTTTCAGTTTGTTCTCAGAAGGACTTCTTGTACTCCATGAAGTTTTAACAGGTCCATGAGATGAATTGTCAGCAATTGAACCATTTTCAGGGAATAGGACACTCTCTAAAGAGCTCCACAAAGAGACAATGTATCCAGGACAGAAGGACAACATGTTAAGGACAGGCAAAGGCCCTACAACAGGATTCAGCACGCAGAAGATTCTCAACATGCACGAATAGAATCGTGCAATATCAAACAGTTCTAGTGTTTCTGATACTTTCTTACTACTCGCCGATGCACCTTTATCTGCTATAACACGAATATCTTTCCCAGAAACCGCCAACAGTTTTGCGAGATGCCATTGTTTACATACTGGTTGAAGCAATTCCACAAACGATATCTTCGCAGTATTTTCTCCTTTCCCAGTCTCATCCGACGTGGCCTCAAAATCTAGATGCATATCCTGAATTCCAACATTTTCAACCCGAGACAAGAGATTCTTGGCAAGAGTCACAATAACATGAACGTACAAGACATAAAACATCTCTGGATTGGATTCTTGTGGGTCCATAAAATCGGTTTCACTAACTGTTGCCAGGGATATGATGTTCCCAATAGCCCATCCAACAGAAGGAATCTCCATGGTACAACTTTGCTTCTCTGAATGCTCTATTTCAGATATTCTGGTCAAGATTTTGTCCCTCAAAATCTGCTGTCACCTGCCAAAATTTAATAAGTCCTTCGATTGTTTGGAAAAACGCAAGCAGTTCATCCGAAAAGGTAACAGAGATTTAAAACAAGTCAACCCATTCTCTCTATTTTGAGAGTTTGACAAGAAATTAATTGGCGTAAAAATAATTTGCTGTGAGTTTTACCAATATAGTGTGAAAGCTTGGCATTAGTATGCTCTTGTGCTTCAGTGCACGTATGAGAGCGCTTGGCAGGCAGCAAACAAGTCGAGGAATCGTCAGTATTAGAGAAACATATTCTTCAACAGCCAAATTCGTGTCTGGTTGACTGTCATCAACAAAAGCAGGCTGTCTCGCATGGAACGGTCGTACGGCCAAAGTTACTGCACTTGTTGTAATCAATAGTCTCTCATCTGTATGTTTGGTTAATGTCTTGATATATCTTCTAACTGCTGTGTAATATCCACTTTTACAGCTCCCAATAAACTGAATGATCATATTGCCAGCTGTTTCTGCATCTTTAAAATTGTCCTTTGTAATGATCTTCCAGCTTTTTGGATCGGTTAAAGCAATGAGGATACGTAATACAAGGGCACTGACACCAAGAACATCTTTTATCCTTTCCTGTGAATAACTAGACTCCATGAGAAGGAAAGAGCAGAGATAAACCAGCTTTCGTGTTTGACAGGCCCATGTTTTACTCTCTTCAAATGTACCAACTGCTAGTGAACAAAAATTGTACCCCTGATCTGCAAAAGACAATAACAGCATTCATTCAAGCAAAATTTATTTCTGTTCTAATATGCACGACTAGAGAATGCAGAAAAACAATCATACCATTAGAGTTGATGCTCTCCAATAGAATCTTAAAGCAAGTTTGCATGCAGAGTATATCTCTTGCCTGTATCTTTTGATGTTGGACAGACAAAGATCTGATAAAGAAGAGAAAAGGTCTCAATACTCTACTTGATACCCAACTTTTAGTCAGTGTATCAGAACGGCAACTCAGTGAATTCTCCCACTCCTCTCGGAGCTCTATAGCTTCCATCTTTCTCACAATGTATGACCTCCAAACTCTCTACAAGTATTGGAAAATGGGGTAAGTTTATGCCGTCGTCTATGTAGCTGAGGTAAAGTCCCATTAAACCACAAATGACATCCAACTCAGAAAAATTATAACAATGTACTGGAAATGATGACAGCAAATCTACGCCACTTATACCAATATGAATAACCTTAAAATGCTGATGATAGAACATAACTACACGGTTTAATTTTCTGTTCAACACTTGAAGCCAAAGTCAAGAGATAGAAGTACCTGAATGAAAAGTGCTGCAGCATTAGCCCGTCTCGCATAATTGCGTAGCTCCCTCTCTTGTGACACTTTAGCAAGCAAAGCATCCCTTGATATTTCCCCACTACTGGCGCCTCTAAGGGACACCTAATAAGATTTCGTTTTTAACAATGAAAGATTCATCAGCATGCACCAATTAAGGACATTTATGCAAAACTTGGATCACCAGATTTTAAAAGGAGCCAAATTCCTAAGTTTCCATGAAACTAGTTCATTTTAATCGCATTCCAAACTGAAGCAAATGGGATCTGAATACTATAAGAATTAAGAACCCTAAGTTATCCTAGAAAAGTGATAATTTAACATCGAAAAAGTTATCGGATAGACCCACCGATTTCACAAGACAAATTTTCAAGCCAAAACCAAAATTCAGTGCGAGCAAAAAGAAGTGAGAGTTGGGATCGAATCCGAAAGCGAACCGAAAGAAAAATTGTAAACATAGTGGATATTCAGATCTCTCCAGTGAAAAAAAGTGATGACCAGAATTCAGAACACAGCAATAAAAAAAAAATGGTTATAAATTTCACAGTAGCGGAAGAATAAGAAGAAAGAGGTACCTTATGCTTGCGATTAAGGTCCATTGGAGGGTAATATTTTGTCTCCGATCTTCTTCTTCTTCTTCGTGTTTTGGCTTTGGGTTGACGTCAAGGATCGAATCGAAGACACTTTGTTGAGCACGAACCAGTTCTTTATGACGTCAGCTTAAAAAAAAACAAAAATGTATGCAACCATTTTTTGTTTGTTTTTTATTTTATTTAAATGGATTGTGATAGAATAATCCTTTAGGATTTAATATTTTCTAGTTATAAATTTTGTTTTATTATTGTATACTAAAAAGTAATACTCTTTAAATTTTACATATAGATAAACCTAAATTTGATTTTCTCTTGAGCTTTTGTCGGATGTAGACCTTTGTAAACAATTTTGATGAAGATTAATTTCTACCTCTACTTTGACAATTAGAGAAGAATCTTTCGACGTTAAAAAAAAAAAAAAAAAGAGAGAGAAGAATCTTCATCACTGGATCATGGATTAGCTTGATTAGGATGGATATTATATATGTTAATGTTCATGGTTGAATCTTGTTAGATTCTTCGATTACGTTGATCATACTTGATTGTTTTAATATAGAACTTAAGAGTTGTTCTTGCACTACAACTGTTTGTGGCGTAGGAACAATATTTTTTACCCAAAAGAAAAAAAAATTGGTTTATTGGTTGGCATTTTATTAAATGGTTGTCATATTACGCAATTGCAGAATATCGGTTTGTGTTCTTTTATAATATTGGCCTTGTTGCTGTATCAGATGTGTGCATCAACCCTTATATTGGAAACATTTCCTTTAACGATCAACAAGAACGTGATCAATACAAGGAAAACAAAAATGCAATGAGAATCACTTAAGAAAAGGCCTCAAGGAGCAAATAAGAAACCTAATTAAGCTTTTGTACAAGTGGTTTGAACAGCGAGCGTAGGAGCTCCCTTGCAGTGGCTCGGACCAAACATCTCGTCCGTAACCAAAAGCACACACTTGTTTTTTCCAAGACAATTCTGCAAAAAATATAATACTAATTAACAATAAGTTTCATCGAAATATATATTATCTACTACTAATTACTCCCCATGCATGAGGAAAAGGCGAACCAACATAAAATTAATGTTCGTTAATTTTGTTAAAACCTTTTTGACGAGTCTCAAGGTAGCTTGTGCGCTGCAATTGCCGTGTCTAAAATCTCCACATGTACCAGTGGGATTGCCATAATCAGCGAAATCAATTTTTGTAATAACATATCTAGGTTTATCGCAAGAAATACGCGTCATCGGACCGGGATCGGGATTTGATTTATACACACGGTATATTCCTTGCCACGTTGATTGGAATTAGAGAGATAACGTTGCCGGTTACTGTCGATTTTGATGCCGTTTGCATCATCAGAAATGTCCATCTTTGAAGCTAAACCAAACACAGAGGAATGAAATAAAACTAGAAGCAAAATGAAGCCATGACGACAAAGACAATGTGAAGTATCCATTTTTTTCTATTTTCATATATAATCAAGGATAACGAAAATGTATAAGTAGACTACTTTTTTTCAGGGGGCGAAAATAGACTACTTATGGATGTTTATATATAGGTGAAAAAAAATGAACTTGGATTAGTTATGTTTTGGAGAGGCGATTCGTGTGTAGATGTGGCCACCAATTTTCCTCTCGATTTGCAGTTTTTCTTGGTTTTCGGAGGTGTTGGGGAAAGGCTTATGACTTTTCAACGATTTCTTATAAATAGATTTGTATTTTCATTGAAAAAAAAACAAAAAGAATTAACATATTTCTCGTAGACGTGAGATTCATTGGTTTATTGGTTGATCTTTAGTTTTTTTTTTGTCTCTGCTAATTGATTTTATTGTTATATACAGTATAGGCCAAAATATGAGTTTTCATTTATATTCTCTATTTAGTCATGTCATGAAATTTTTCGTATATGTTTCTTATACTTCCACCCAACTTGCCTTATTTAATTAGACATATATATTCACCATTAATACGCTTTGTTAAACTATGATATTCCAAGAGTATAAAGTTTGTTGATGTGTGCACTGAAATACTATAATTCACCAGAATTGGTTCTCAAATTCTTGCTGTGTATTAAACTTTCTTGCTCTTTGTGAAATCAAGGGAGAGAGAGAGAGAGAGAGAGAGAGAGAGAGAGAGAGAGAGAGAGAGAATAGAACTGATTTAACCATGAAAGCAATTCAGTTCAGATTCATATAAGCTCAGGATATTAGTATTAAACACTTGATGTGTGCACGGTTAGAAACTCATAACTCACGTAATCCTGAGCTTATATAAACAACTAGAAACCCAAGTCACAAAGATGAACTAAAATACTGTCAAAACCCTTTCAAAAGTGAAATCAATTGGTTTTTAATTGAAAACTTGTGATACTTAATATCATACCAAAATTGAAACACACTATGGTCCAATCCAAACCGAAATCGTTTTAATCCAATACTGGTCCAATCGATCCGATCTAAATTGGTCACGTTGACTACATCCAGTATAAATTATATCCGATATAAAAATAAACAAAATAAAAATGCGTTGAGATAACCTTTAAATAGGAAACAAAAGCCTGATACTAGATCCGATATTGTAATAGTCCTAGAAAGATGATCGACATCAGATCTTTCCATCATATGACGAACAACAACTTGATCAAAAGGAGTAAGAGAAAAATCAGTAAAAACCTATTTCTTTGTACATGTGGCTTCGACCGCGAGCCTAGAGACTCCCTTGCAGTGGCTTGGACCAAACATTTCGTCCGTAGCAAAAAGTGCACATCTATTTTTCCCAAGACAATTCTGCACATATAATGCTAACATTAAAGATTCATTGAAATATCTCACAATTTTGCTCCCATGAAGAAAAGGCGAACCAACATATAATTAATTTTTATTGTTATTTTAACCTTTTTGACGAGTCTCAAGGTAGCTGGTGCACCGCAATTGCCATGTCTAAAGTCTTGACATGTACCAGTGGGGTTGCCATAGTCAGCGAAATTGATCTTGGTGATAACATATCCTTCCATGCAATCAAGACCCGTTAAAGGAACGAGATCAGGTTCAGGTTTAATACACGCTGCATGTTCCTTGACATGTTGATGAGATTCCCTTAACTCGTAACGAGGGTGATGATTAGAATCAGAGAGAAAACGTTTCCGGTCACGGTGGATTTTGATGCGTCTTGCATCATAAGAAACGTCCACCTTTGAAGCTAAACCAAACACATATGAATGAAACAGAACAAGAAGCAAAATGAAGCCATGACGACGAAGACAATGTGAAGTATGCATTTTTCTTCTCTGTTCTCGTAAATCAAGGATAACGAAAATGTTTAAGTAGACTACTTATGGATGTAGTTATATATAGGATATTTGTTTTCTTGGATTAGTTAAGTTTTGGAGAGGCGAATTCGAGTGTAAGATGTGGCCACGAAATTTTCTCTCAATTTGTAGTTCTATTTTCTCATTCTATTTTTTTTTGTTCTTTTCTTGGTTTTCGGAGGTGTTGAGGGAAAGACATTCCTTCTGGCCTTTCTAGGATTACATATTACTGGTCTTGAATTTTGATTCAGTGAAAAGAAATAAAAACTTTTTTCTTATATCATTGACTTTCTTTGGTTTCATAATTAAGTATTTGTTAATCTTTAGACTGCTAATATGAGAATTTATTTGTGTTATCCATTTATCTATGTCAGAATTTTATTTGTGTTAAATTAGCAAGATTATTTATTAAAAAGTTGATTATATTTCAGGTACTTCTAGTTTCTTAATTATCTTTCTTTTTTAAAATGTATCCCTTTTTTAATCATTTTTATAATTACTTTGGTTTTAGAGAATTTTGTGCTCCAGCTTTGTTTGTTGAAAATAAAACCTTTTCAATCATTTGTCCGATTGACAATTATATAAATCGTGCGTAATTTGTCTTCCTTTCTAACACTTAGACTTAGGCTCTAATAGTTAATACCGAGTACCGACAGTAACCTAGTATTAACTATTAAGACATACAAAATCAAAACACCTAGGCTTCATCAAATCGAAATATGTTACGGAAATTAACCTAGTTTAAAAAAAAAAAAAACAAAAACAAAAACAAGTCACAAAGGCCGGACTTGAATATAAAAATATGTTAGGAATTCCACCCTGAGACATAAACTAATATAAGAGATATGAGACAATCTATTTTATTATTTGTTGAATTGATTTTAATTAGGTATTAAATGTTTTTTTATGTAGAAAAGGAAAATCATATATAAATTTTTGTAATTATTCGATTTTCATACTTTTAACTAAAATAAATTTACTTTAAAATATATTTAAATAGAAGCTAAACTGGAACTGAAGCCAATACCAAAATAGTAACACTCTATAGTCTAACTAATTAAACTCAGTTTTGTTTCCTTTTCTTGGTCAGAATTCAGTTTAAAAAAAAAAAAAATAGGGTAGGTTTGTGCTAAGACTTAATTTCTCCTTGTTGATACCTTATGATATATATGGTGTAAGATCAACCCTTGCTAATATCTTATAACATGGTGTAAAACATTCTTCCCACCGGAAATTGAACTAAGAGCAAAATAAAAGCAAATGTCCACTTAACCACTAGCCCATTTTATCTGATAATAATTCAGTTTTCTTTAGGCTACTGTATTTTCAAAGAATACCTGAAAAATATGTGAACCAAAACCACATTAGATCCAACACCAATACATTTCTCTTAAATCTCACAAAAATAATAAATCATAGCGACAAAATAAATAAATAAATAAACCAGTCCGTTTCTGTAATTCTTAAATCTTAATTTTTGTTCTATTTCAGCATATTGTTGTGTGGGAGACAAGTGGCCGAGACTTCTCATATACAGTGTTCAGTGTCCACTATGTAGAGTGGGATATAACTTCTAATATTGTCTCTGACTTTTTAAAAAAAAAAAAACTTCTAATATCTCTAATAGAATTTGAATGTTAGAAAGAAAAAAACATGTATATTGGCCATTACCCGATAGGACCCTTGAAATTAATATTGACCCGCCAAGAAATTGTTGGTACGTAATTGTGTACCGAAAGATCGCTTTTCCACAACCTTTTTTATTCTTATAAAGTAGTAAGACAAAATATTAATTATATATTGATGTAGGACATGCATGTCTCAATTAGAGTAAAAAACAAGAGATGCAACGATATACTCTGTTTGGCCCATAGTTAAACACGTGAACGTTCCTTTTTTTTTTTTCTAATCATCTTGTTGTAAAACTCAACAAACGAAATTCATTAGGGATAACTGATTACAAAGATGGTTTATCGGAAACCATAAGAGGCTCCAACTCTTGGTACATTAGAGTCAATAGCAAGATTTTGTTCAAAACTTTTTTTTTAAGAGAGATTATATTCACTAAGAAGAAAAAAAACTATATGAGACTCCAAATCTTGGTATATTATAATGGATGTCACATTTGTGACAAAAATAATTATTCAAAGCAGGCAAAAAATAAATATATAAATCAAATTTCATTTGTTAATCTATAGCTCTTTTTTTTTTTTTTTGCATTTCAGCGTGTAGTGTGGGACAGATGTATCACTATAGTGATTTTTTTCCAGTATGTGGTGTGGGTTCAAATCTCTCGAATTTAATTTAAATGCTTGACGAAATACAACATGTAGTTTGGCCATTACCCTTAAAATTAATAATGACCAGCCAAAAAATTGTTGGTACGTAATTTAGTGCCCCCAGTATGGTACTGTCTTTTTTCTTTCGTCTATCCACAACCATTTTTTCATATAAAGCAACAGGACAAATGTTATATTGTTGTAGGACATGGATCAATTAAAGAAGAAGAATATAAACAACAACATCAGTGACAAAAAAAAGAGAGTAAAAAACAGCAGGCGAAGAAGATACACTGTTTGGTCCATAGTTATCTTCGCAAATTCTATTAATACTTAATTGAAATTTGAGTGTAAACACAAATTCTATTAATATTTAATTGAAATATATTTCAACTAAACCAATCATAAAAGAGTAAGTGTAAAAAGAATTTCTTGTGTTTTTTTTAGTTTCTCAAATGAGAATCGTTTCTCTCTATCTCTCCTATTTTTTTTTCTTTATCTTATATATAAAAGTTGTTCAACTTTCTCCATATGATTGACACATCAGCATTGGATTGGATAGGTTGACATCTATACTTAAATTTTAATTAATAAATTTTAATATTAAATTTTAAAACACTTAAAGAATATGAAAAATTTATTTTATTAATTGATTCTTAATTAAAATTTATATTAATGTTAAACAAAAATTTATGTTATAACTAATTAAAAATATTGATAGATATGTATTTAATTTTTATATAATTATAGATTACTTAATAATATTTAGATTACTTAATAATATTCAAGATGTATTTTAAATTAATTTTTTAAAATTATTTATAATAAAATACTGACAAGTAACAAATAAAATGATGATTATATTAAATTTTTTTTAATTAATTGACTATCAATTAATATTTCTGTAAATGTTAAACAAAAATTTATGTTATAACTAATTAAAAATATTGAATGATATTTATTAATCTTAATATAACTTTAAATTATTAAATAATATTCAATATATATTAATATTTTATAATTTTTTAGAATAAAATATTAACAAGTAAGTAAGTAATAAGTGATGATTATATTAATTTTTATAAAAATATAAAAAAAAATTTGAAAATTTTGAAAAGAAAAACCTGCACGTAACGTGCGGATATTCAGCTAGTTTTAATAATGTGAATTAATTCTGTTAAAAACTCACTCTAATGGTGCTCGTATCACAACACTTCCATATGATGACTATACAGCTAACTTTTTAATGTGTGGGGTTTTTCACTAATTGAAATTGTTTTTTTTTAGAGACCGGAGATTCTCTCTGTTATCTCATTTTTTACGTATCCCATTTTTTTTAATTCATATAATTCCGAATATCTCTAAAACTGAGTACCAGTTACAGCACATGATGTTAAATCGTGCGCACAAGATCTTCGTTCCTTTTTTACAAAGAAAAGTGGTGGACCATCCACAATTATGTTCTTGGACGTTGCATAGTTTTATACTTCAGCTCCTCCTCAAAGAAAACCCTTATCCTAAACCCATCTTCATTTTGGGTTTCTTCAGATTCCAAGACTTATATATCTACACATATATTATTGTGTTATTATTTTAGTTTTTGAAAATATGGGTAACTGCGTATTTTTAGGCAATGGTGCCGGTGGTGCAAGAAAACTATACGATAAAAATGATTTATTAATCAAAGTGGTAACTCCAAACGGCGGCGTAATGGAGCTTCATCCTCCAATCTTCGCCGACTTCATCACCAAGGAATTTCCCGGCTACATCATCCACGACACCTTAAGCCTTTACCACTCATCTCCGCCGCTTCTCCACGGCGAAGAGCTCTTTCCCGGGAACATTTACTACCTTCTTCCTCTTTCTTCCGTTACCACAACCGCTCAACAATATTCTTCCGACCAATTATTAGCAACGCCATACAGAATGTCTTACGGGAAAACGACGTCGGTGAAGGAGGCTGCGAATGGCGGCGGAGTGTGGAAAGTGAGGCTTGTGATAAGTCCGGAGCACTTGGCGGAAATTCTTGCGGAGGATGTGGAAACGGAAGCGTTTGTAGAAAGTGTGAGGACGGTGGCAAAGTGCGGCGGTTACGGCGGCGGAGCTAACCGGAGGGCAAACTCAGACCAGTTAAGCGTTACGAGTAGTTTCAAAGGGTAGTTAAGGTAAACCTTCGAATATGCATAACCTTAAAGTTCATGTAATTTTTGAATATTATGGTTTCCCCTTGTTAAAAAAAAAAATTATGGTTTAATTTGTTTCACGGTTTTAGCATTTAAATGATGTTGATTTTCGTATTCGCTGGAGTGATTATATGTTAATAAACTTAGAAATATTAATAATATCGACGACATCTCACATGAAACTAGTAATTCATGAAATCGTAGATAAATTATTATTTTCCCTATCAAATGCTTATAAGCCTAAAAAGCAAAACAAAAGAGAGAGACTTATTGTTCACTTGGGAACTTAACCACTTTTTGTTGGGTCTATATTGGGTCTGTATCTGTAAGAGTATATTGAAATGAATAAATTATTAACTGACTTTTAGCCTAAATGATTTCAATTTTAAGTGTTATACCAAGTGACAACATTAAAAATCATGTTTACTTTTAGAATCCAAAGACGAAACTAGCTAGAACCGACAGCTAAACTACAAGAGGTCCAACGGCCGAAAACAAAAAGATCCGTGCCTCAAAGAGCCTCATTTGTTGTAAAATAATAAATACGATCAACTTAGATGAAAACCAGAAAAGAGAAAAATCAATAAACATTTCTTAAGAAAAACACTTACGTAAGAAACAAGAAACCTATTTCTTTGTACAAGTGGCTTCAACCGCGAGCGTAAGGGCTCCCTTGCAGTGGCTTGGACCAAACATTTCATCCGTAACAAAAAGTATACACATTGTTTTTCCAAGACAATTCTGCACACAATAATATATACTAACAATAAGAATTCATTGAAATATTTACAATTTAATCTACTTTCCATGAAAAAAGACGAACCAAAACTTTCTTACCTTTTCGACGAGTCTCAAGGTAGCTAGTGCGCCGCAATTGCCGTGTCTGAAGTGTTCACATGTACCAGTGGGGTTGCCATAATCAGCGAAATTGATCTTGGTGATAACATATCCGCCATTGCAGAAAATACGTGTTATCGGACCCTGAACAGATTTATGATTCGTACACGCTGAATATTCCTTGCCTTGTTGACGAGGGTTACGATTAGAATGAGAGGGAATATGTTTTCGGTCACCTTCGATTTGTATGCGTCTTGCATCATGATAAACGTCAATCTTTGAAGCGAAAGCAAATAGAGATGAATGAAACAAAACAAGAAGCAAAATAATGAAGCCATGATGACAATGTGAAGTATTCATTTTCTTATGTTCTCATAAATTCAAAATCAAGGATATGTTTAAGTTGAACAAAAAAAGGATGTATAGTTATATATTGGTATAATGTTTTTTTTTAAGTTTTTTTTTGTTAAAGATTAATAAAATAAGTTTGTTGGAGAGACAAATTCTTGTGTAGATATGTGGCCACAAAGTTTTCTCACAATTTTGAAGTTAAATACTATTTTATTTTCCCATTCTCTCTCTGGTTTTCGGAGGTGGAGAAGGACACTCTTTCTGAATTTTTCCACAATTACTTTATTTATTAATAGGTTTGCATTTTCAAAGACAAAAAAAAAAACCATTCCATCCCGTTTCATCAATTGTTTATATCATCAACTGAATCATTTGGAAATATTTTGGATCACTCGATATATATTTTACTGTATACCAATATCACAAATATAATATAGGAGTAAAACAATTTTGTACGTGTGACAAAATGAAACTAATTATTAGTAGTTGTCGACGGAGAAAAGAAGAAGTAGATAACGAATGCAAATTCCGAAGATTAGTGTGTTCAATTTTCAATCTTTTTTTTGTATTTTCTAAGCAATAAACTTAGGAACACGTAATATTATAATTTATTATTGAGCAGTAAATAGAATGCCACTGTACAATCACGAAAAAGTCAGAATGAATGTCCTTCACCAACACCTCCGAAAGCCTTGAAGGATAAAACGTGAAAGAGAGGAAGAAAAAATTAGAACGTGACTAAACGAAAAATTGATAGAAAAATTCGCAGCGACATCCGCACACAAATTCGTCTCTCCAACAATCTTTCATGATTTAACCCTTACTAAAAATACAATACGAAAACACTACCCATATATGTCTAAATATACCCGTAATTAAGTAGTTTGCTAGCATTTTCATGATCCCTCTGAGTTCTGCTTCATAAATGGAAACTTCACATAATTTTCGACGTCATGGCTTCATCATTTTGCTTCTTGTTATGTTTCTTTCCTTTGTGTCTTGTTTTGCTTCAGAGATCAATGGTTCTAAATAAGTTACCATCCTCCTTTGGGTTATTTAAGCCGCACAGTGGATATTCTTTGCCTGGTGGAGGAGATCCTCCAGGCTTGGAACCAGAGAGATTACGTCTCCGATCACTATGATAAGAAGCAAAATGATGAAGCTATGAAAATGAGGATACAGTGAAGTTTCCATTTCTTTTTTTTTTGTTGGTTATCTTATAAATAAGTTAGAAGTTTAATGAGCATGCTAAGCAAAGGCTACTTAGGGATGTAGTTAGAGTTATATATAGGTAATGTTTTGATATTGACTTTTTCTAAAACTTTAAATAATAAAGTTGTTGGAGAGGCGAATTCGTCTGCGGATGTGGCTGCGATGTTTTCTATCGATTTGTCGTGTAAATTTTCTTCGATTTTTCTATTCTTTTCTTTTTTGCCTCAAGTATTAACTGACTAGTAACGAATTATAGAAACATGTGAGGTTTTAATTTTATATATTTTTATTTAATATTTGTTTTAGCATCAACTTAGCGAATTCGTGTGGCTGCGATGTTTTTAGTAGTATCAATTTGGCGAATTCGTGTTGTCAAATTTCAAGAGATAGTGGCGTTAATGATTCTTCTATGAGTATAAATAGTATTTTCTAAAAAAGAAACTACGATCTGTGTGTTCTAGACTATTATCATCAGGTTATCTTTATGTTTTTCTTATAAATGAGTTCAAAATGTTTATAAGACAAACAATGAAGACTACGTGTTTTCAATACGTAAGAGGATTTTGACGTTTGAAATCCTCTCAACTTATCATTTTTTGTGATTTTTTTTGTCGTTATTATAATGTTATCCACTAAATTTGTTTTCCTTCGTTTCTATATAGGGTTTGAAGTTTCATACACTTCCTCTTCAAAATTTATCATATTAACAACCAGCTCCGACTCCGACATACAATCCCATGTCATTTTTTATGAGCTCATCCTTGATTCACTCCTCATGGATTTTTTGTAGTCAATTTTGTATTCGTGTAGTGAAGGTTTGGCCATTTTCTTTATGTTACATAATGAGAAATAAATAAAAATAGTTTGTTAGGACACATCACAAGTTGTGATGGATTGAAGTAGAAAACAGAATGTTGATTCGGGGTTCCGTCAATTAGCAACATATGTGCTATCTAGCAAAGGTCCTTACTTGAAAAAGAAAAAAAGATCATAAATATCAAAAACTTCATCAAACAAAAAAAGAAGAGCAAATTTGTTATATTATCGAATCACTAGCCTCTAAGCTATATTTTTTTTTTCTTACAAGTACCCAAAAAAGCGAAACTGATAGGTCCTTTGCAATGAGTCGGCCCAAACATGTCGTCTGTCACAGGAAGCCAGCACTCTTCTTTTCCAATACAATTCTGCATGAAATAAGAATAAAAAAGTTAATAATATGATCTATTATCTTTTTTTCAATAATACCTCCGTTTTAAATGATTAAGTGTTACTTTAGGATTTTACTTTTGTTTATTAAAACATTTGTTTTATCCATATTTTTCAACATATTAATTAAAAAAATAACCTCACTTCAATGTATAATCTATATAATATGATATATAAGATGTATAATTTATATATCTTTTAAAAATGTGGTGAAAATGTACAACAAGATTTATTTTGGAACGGAGATATACATGCAGTAGTTCTTATTTCAAACAGATAGTTCAAGTTTAGTGAAACCTTTTTGACGATCTGTAAAGTAGCGGGTGCACCACATTTTCCACGTTTAAACGTTTCACATGAACCTGTGGGCTGACCGTAGTCGGCGAATTTGATCTCACTAATAACATATCCTTTATCGCACATGGGAGAAGAAAAAGGACCATTTTCAGGTAGTTTATGAATCCCACAAAGTACATATTCCTTGCCTGTTGGAGGCCATTCTTCAGATTTGGAACCAGCGAGAATACGTTTCCGATCACTGTGGATTTTGATGTCTCTTGCATGATCATAAGAACCGTTGATCTTCAAAACAAAACCAGAAAGAAAGGAAATAAACATAACAAGACGTAAGATGATGAAGCCACGGCTATATGACATTTTCATATATTTTTGGATATCTTATTAATAAATCTGAAGGATATAATGAAATTGCTAAGCAGGTTCCTTGACGAGTTTAGTTATATGTATAGATGATATATTGTTGGCTAAATAAAAACTTTTAGTAAAGTTTGTTGGGGAAGCGAATTCGTGTGCGAATGTCGCTGCGAAGTTTTCAATGATTTTTTTCGTTTTAATTTTGTTCCCTTTTATTCTATTTTTCACTGTTCGTCCTACTTTGTTCTCGGAGATGTTGTGAAAGACATTCATTCTGACTGTTTTCCTAATATAGTGTTCTAAATTACATACTCTATTTTTAATAACACATACCAAGTTATGCAAAATATGCAAATATACTACTACATTTCATTAGACCACTGCTTTCTCTAGTTTACACTAATTTACGTCATTTATTTTATGTCACTTACTAATAAATATCAATGAATTATCATCACTGATATAATTTGGAAGTGGCCGTTATTATTCTAACGAACGTTTTGAATAAAATTTGTTTTATAAAGACAGGTGTTGTGTATGTTCTATTTTATTCACTATTAATTATATAGTTTTAATTAATGAATATTATATTTTGCAACGTCATTAAATTGAAAAAGGTTAACTGTTTACATAGTCATGTTGATGTAATGAGGGCAAATAGAATAAAAACATCCAACTTCATCTTTACGCAGGCGTTTTCTTGCGAGCCGCTCCGCACGAGTTCACAAGCATTGCCTTCTCCTCTTGACAAAAGCAACTAATAAATAAGCACAGAAAATGATATACTAAAAGTTGTTAAGAAAAATTAGATGTGAACAAAGTATAAAATAAAAAGGTTTTTGAAATGGAGGGAATATAAAATACTATAAGTGGAGTAAAATTACGCATCAATTTTTTTCTAGTGTATAAGTCAGAACCCAGACTAATCCTACGAATTTATATAGAAATTCGGGTTTATTGTCTTTAGAAGTATCTATAAGTACCATCAATTATTGAAATCACAATAAAGAGCTTCGAACATTGACCTAGACACATAAAAAAATCCCTAATAATCATTAAACCAATATGAGATCGTTTTTGCATCACTTATCATAATTGATGTAAAGTAATATGTCAGTGTTACCACGAATTTGTTTCGGCTTTCTATTCGGAGATCATAATGTAATGTACATTGGCTCTAAAGAGAACAATGCAATAAGAATCAATTAAACAAACGCGTACACTTTAACGTAGGAATCAAGAAACCTAAGTTTTTTTACAAGTAAATTCAATAACGAATCTAATAGTTCCCTTGCAGTGACTCGGACCAAAAATCTTGTCCGAAGCAAGCAACTCACACTTCCCTTTCCCAAGACATTTCTGCACAAGTACGTTATAGTAGTAAGAACAAGGGTACACAAGAACAATAATAATATTTGAAAAAAAAATTTCCCTTGTTGCCAAAATATTAAAACAGACTTATTTTTCCCTTTCAAATTTAGTGTCTATAATTAAGAATAATATTTTTTTTTATTAAAAAGATAGTTTTATGATTTCAGTCTAACTTTTTTATATAAAAAAAGAAAAAATCCGTACTCTTCTTATAAATTAATAGAATATATTAAATATATTCCAAGATTTAACCTTATTTTGTAAGAAAAAACAAATATAATAAAAAATTGTGAAAATTTGTTTCAAAATAACATTTGATTTATTTACTTTCAACAGATTATTAATGTAAATTTTTGTGTACCTTTTTGACGATATTCAGTGCATTGTGTGGACCGCATTTGCCGCGTTTAAATGTTCCACAATCACCAGTGGGTTGCCCATAGAAGGCAAATTTGATATCTGAGATAACATCTCCTTCGTCGCAATCAAAATTCGGTGGCATTAGCCTACCGTCAACCTCAGTAGCATCTCCGCACACTGTGTATTCATTTGGACCAGTGTTACTATGAGGGGAATGTGTATTGGAGCCAGACAGAATACGTTTCCGGTGACCTTGTAATGAAACGTCCATCATTGAAGCTAAACTAAAGACAGAAGAAAGAAACAGAACAAGAAGCCAAACAAAACCATGAAGACGACGACAATATTGTAAAGTTCCCATTTCTTTGTGGTGTTCTCATAAAAGATGAGAAAGGATAATTAATGAGAATGGTAATAAGACTATTTATGGGTGTAGTCTGATATATATATAGGTAATGCTCAAGAAAAAGATTACAAAAAATAAAGAAAGATTGTTTCAGAGTCGGGTTTGTGTGTGGATGTGGTATTGAAGTTTTCTCAATTTCTTGTTTAGTTATTTTTTCCGTTTTTTTTTTTCATTTTCCTCGCCTTCTTGGTTTTTGGAGGTGTAAGTGAATGACATTTCTTCTGACTTTTTCATGATTACTAAATAATAGGTTTACATTTTCAGTTAAAAAAAAAAATAGTAAGACTTTCTCCCATAAGATAGAATTTATCGGTTTCACAATTATGCCTTGATCTTAACTTTTTTGTTCTGTGCTAATTGACTTAATTGTATATATAAACACGGAAAAGTAATATGTTCTTCGTTGGATATATTATTTATGAATATAGACAAACCCACTCATGTTATATACTTAGACCATCATTATCCCAAAATCCTATTATGAGTTTCTTAAGTGTTTTTTAATATTAATTGTTGAATAAGAAACCATATTAAAAAACGTTTTGATTTAATGGATTATTGGTAAAACTTTTGTAAAGATTCTTAAAAAAAAAAAATTAAATGCGATTTGGCCCAGAAAAAAAAAATTTAGCGGAGAATTTATTCTGTCCAATGCATGTGTGACACGTGTGTGTGAGAAGAACCGGTTCCGCCAACTCCAAAATAAGGATTGACTCTACTTGTTTTTTGGGCTTCAGTCCATTATTTAACTAATATTTTGGGTTTAGAAATCCATTTCAGTATATGCGATAATGATGCTCTTATATTTTCAGTATATGCGATAATGATGCTCTTATATTGTTATTACATTTGCATTCAACTATGATGACAATTATGCTGTCATACTCTAGAAAGTAATAATAGTTAAATCGATCCTTATCATTCGCACTCTTTGTCTTATCCACTTAGACCAGGTTTGATTGCATGCTTCAAATACGATTACTAATACAGCTGAAACATCACGTTGCTATAAACCGAGTAACTTAATTCTGTTTGGATTGTACTTTAAACGATCGCATTGTTCTACATACTGTAGAGAAGACATTTACCATTATTATGATTAATTTTTGGATATAGATTAGATGTAAAACAGAACTTACTAAAAAAGGAGAGAATTTTAGCTTTTTTTTTTAGAAAAATAGTATATGAAAAGAATGTGTACTTATTGAATTTTAGAAGAACAATTTTCGACTCACTCTTTTTAAAAGTATACATATTTTTACTTTTTATTAATTTTAAAGATCCTTATTGAAAAACAATAAATATGATCAATAACAATTTTATCAAAACAAGAAAAGAGACAATGCAATAAGAGTCGCTAGAAAATCCTAAGTTTTTTTACAAGTAGCGTCAATAACGAGTTTAATAGCTCCCTTGCAGTGGCTCGGACCAAAAATCTTGTCAGGAACAAACAACTCACACGTCATTTTCCCAAGACATTTCTGCAAAAGTAATAATAATCATAAGAAGAAGAATTTCATGAAATTGTAATGTGTATTTTTTTTGTTTACCTTTTTGACAATAGCCAAGGTATTGGTTGCTCCGCATTTGCCGCGTTTAAATTTTCCACAACTACCAGTAGATTGGCCATAGTCGGCGAAACTGATCTTTGACATAACATATCCTTTTTCGCATTCAAAATTTAATGCGATTGGCTTACCATCCTTAGCCTCGCTATGATCGGCGCACATTGTATATTCGCTAGATCCACCACGAGGGGAAGGAGTGGAGCTAGAGAGACTACGTTTCTGATCACCGTGAAAAGAAACATCGATCGCTGAAGCTAAACCTAGCTCAGAGGAAAGAAACAGAACAAGAAGCACAATACAACCATGAAGACGAGGATAATGTGAAGTGCCCATTTTGTTTTGGTCTTCTCATAAATGATCAAAAGAAAAGAATAATGAATCTGCTAAACATGCTATTTATGGATGTATATACTATATAGGTGATTATATTCTTTAAAAAAAAATAAGAATCAAAGTTTATTTGAGAGGCGAAATCATGTGGTCTTAAAGTTTCTCTCAATTTTTTGTTTATATTAAGTTTTTTTTAATTTTTTCGTTCTCCTTCTCGGGTTGCGGGCATATTAGTGAACGACATTTCTTCTGACTTTTTCACACGATTAATTATTTGATGGCTGAAAAAAACATTCCCATAAGAGAGTTTAACCGGTTACACGATTCACATATTTACAATGATCCACTGGCCTTTAAATTCTCCTCTCAACTAATTGATTTTGTTAATATATGAAGGCTCGATCGAGAAAATCTTCTTTTGGATGTGTTATGTTTGTAAACAATTTCATTCATGTCTTTACGATTGCGTCCAACAAATGATAAATATGTTGTACAATTTATCGATCTGGAGACAGTTACAACTATCGTGGAAGGACTTTCTGATTAATCATATCATTAAAACCTGAATCACCCTTTCATTATCAAAAGGAAAAAAAACAAAAATCTCGTCTGTATAATATTTGAATCAAGTTTTGCTCTGGAGGCGATCAGAAAGGCGATAGGGTTTTCAAGTTTCTTTTCTCTCACGCGAGTTTCCCGGCGTGGCCGTCGTCACGATGGCATCGCCGGAGGAGCATGAGGGCATTCCCTCACCCCGATCTCAATCACCTCTGAAGCCGATGGGAAGTCCTCGTCATGTGGGGGCGTCTTTTGCTTCGGTGGTACAAAGTAAGCAAGTTTTGACAAGGTACAAGGTAGACATCAAAAAATCAGACGGATGTCGTTCAGTTGAGGTTCCTGACGAGGTTTTCGAGAATCCATCTCCGCTGTGGGAAGATTTCGTGGTCGGACGGTTCTTATCGGTGGCTCCTCATGTCGCTAAAGTTCATGTTATTGTAAACAAAATATGGTCGCAAGGCGATAAAGTGGAAGTCATTGTGGTTAATCCCACAACGATGAGATTTCGAATCACGAACCCACAGATGCGTGCTCGGATTCTCAAACGTGGTATGTGGAATATTGCTGATATCCCCATGGTGGTATGTAAATGGTCTCCACACACAGAAGATGATACACCGGAAGTAAAATCCGTTCCCCTGTGGGTTCATCTCAGATATGTGCCTATGAATATGTTTTCCTGGAAAGGTCTCAGCTTCATAACAAGTGCTGTAGGTGAACCAAAGCACCTGCACCCGGAAACATCAGCTTGTTCCAACTTCGAGTTAGCAAAAATCTTCGTGAATGCTGATCTTACCAAGGAGCTCCCGAAAAAGATAAGCTTCATGAAACAGGGGATGGAATCAGAGGTAGAATTTTCTTATCCGTGGCTGCCTCCAAGATGTAAGACCTGTGAGAAATGGGCACCTAAAAGCAGCTTGCGTAATCAACAAGAAACAAAGTGGTGAAAAAGCAGTCACGGTGACAACCCCTCAAGGTGCAGTGATACCTACGCAAGCTCGGGAAACTGGTAACTTAGAGGGAGAATCTGCAGCTTTAGTACCAAACAATATTAATACGCCCAGTAAAGCAAGTGAGGATACGGTTGATCGATCTAAACAGAAACAGGAAGGACACGATAAGACAGCTAATTCAGAGGAGTGGACTAGAGTCTCACCTTCAAAGAGGGGACGAAGTCCGACGAAAGCTCAAACTATCGAGACTAGACAGGATCAGATTATATCGGCCTCAAAGTTTGCTCTTCTTAGTGATAATGGAGAGGAAGGAGAGATAGTTGAAAATCAGGAGGTAGAGGATGTTGGGAAAATAGCAGTGACAACTCAAACACAAGGCTCGGGTTCAAAGAGTCAGGAAGTCGGAGGAACTACTCTACGACAACCATTACCCCGTGATTCAAAGAGCCGTCATAAGTTTTTGACAGAGCCTGCAACTGTAGAGAACAAGGATAACCTGGGAACTACGGTAAAAAAGGCCCCTCGCAGAAATTAAATGTCAAGTTTCTTTTGGAATGTGCGCGGATTCAACAAATCATTTAAACATTCCACGGTTAGAAACTGGATAACGGAGGCGGGTATGCAATTTTGTTGTCTGTTGGAAACGAGGGTCAAAGAAGCAAAGGCTGTAAATATTGTCAATTCGGTTTTTAAAGAGTGGTCGTTTATGGCCAACTATGAGCACAATCAGTTGGGTCGAATTTGGGTTCTATGGAGACATACAGTTCGTTTATCTCCAGTTTTCAAAAGTGATCAACTTGTTACATGCTCAGTAATGATGGATGGAGCAGAGGAGGAATTTTTCTGCATTTTTGTTTATGCTTTTAACACTGCTGAGGGAAGGAAAAGCCTTTGGGAAGACTTAAAGAATCACCATAACTCCCCAATGTTTAGAAATAAACCTTGGATAATTATGGGGGATTTTAATGAGATCTTGGATATAGAGGAACACTCAAACACAGAAAGTCCGATTTCAACGCCGGGTATGAGAGACTTTCAAGAAACAGTGCAGCATTGTTATCTTTCTGATTTGGGAGGCCATGGTACTTTGTTCACTTGGGTGTAACAAAAGGGAGGAGGGCTTGATCTGCAAAAAACTGGACAGAGTGCTTATGAATGATGTGTGGTTACACAGATATTCACAAGCTTATTGCACTTTTGAGTCTGGAGGGTGCTCAGACCATCTTCGATGTAGGATCCAAATGGACATGATGGAGCCATCAAAGAAAAGACCATTTAAATTTGTAAATTCAGTAGGTAACATGCCTGAGTTTCTGCCATTGATTGAGGAGCACTGGTCTACCATTGCGCCTCTGTATCATTCGATGTCAGCACTATTCAGATTGGGGAAAAAGTTAAAGACTCTGAAACCAAAACTCAGGACGTTAAGTAAAGACAAGCTGGGAAACTTGCCAAAGCGAGTAAAATTGGCTTTGGACGATCTGTACGAAAAACAGAACATTACCATGGAGTCACCAACGCCGGAACATGTTAAGGATGAGACTGATGCTTTTTTGAGATGGCAACATGTCGCATCTCTTGAGGAGGAATTTTATAGACAGAAATCGAAACTACATTGGCTTCAGGTTGGAGATCAGAACAATAAAGTGTTCCATGCTGCAGTTAAGATCAGAGAGGCAAGAAATAGTATCAGAGAGATCCAGTGTGGAGATGGCTCTATAGCGAATATGCATGATGATATAAAGCAGGAAGCAGAGAGATTTTTCAATGAGTTTCTCACACATAAACCTGATGATTTCGAAGGGGTTTCAGTCGATTTTCTAGAGGAGCTGTTGGAGTTTAGATGTGATCCTCTTGATTGCGAGATGCTGGTTAGGCAAGTAACTGAAGAAGAGATTCAAAATGTATTATTCTCGATGCCAGGCAATAAATCGCCGGGACCAGATGGGTATACAAGTGAGTTCTTCCGTTCAGCTTGGCCTTTAATAGGAAAAGACTTCATGGTGGCAGTGCAGTCTTTCTTTTTAAAAGGGTTCCTTCCAAAGGGTATCAATTCCACTATCTTGGCTCTCATTCCAAAGAAAGGTGATGCAAAGGAGATGAGGGACTACAGACCCATATCTTGCTGCAATGTCATTTACAAGGTCATCTCTAAGTTGATAGCAAACAGACTTAAGAGTCTAATGCCCAGGATGATAGCTCCCAACCAATCGGCGTTTGTTAAAAACAGATTGTTGATGGAAAACCTTCTTCTGGCAACTGAGATAGTCAAGGATTATCATAAAGACTCTGTATCAGCTCGGTGTGCTTTAAAAATAGACATTTCTAAAGAATTTGACTCCGTTCAGTGGTCGTTTCTTCTTAACACGCTTACTGCAATGGGATTTCCTCAACCATTTGTACACTGGATCCGGCTCTGTATTTCCACAGCCTCTTTTTCGGTTCAGGTGAAAGGAGAGCTAGCGACCTATTTTCGTAGTGAGCGGGGCTTGCGGCAAGGCTGTGCCCTCTCTCCATACCTTTTTGTGATCACCATGAATGTTCTCTCCAAGCTACTCGATGATTCAGCAAAGAAAAAAAGAAATTGGTTTTCACCCGAGATGTCAAAATGTCTCTTTAACATATTTGTGCTTTGCTGACGACATTATGGTTTTTACGAATGGAAGGAAGCGGTCAATTGATGGTATTCTCAAGGTTTTCCAGCAGTTTGCTCGGTACTCAGGCTTAAAGATTAGCTTGGAGAAGTCAACGATTTATATGGCAGGTGTGTCTCAGTCGGGCAGAGACTCAATTCTTGAGAATTTTCCTTTTGCTGTAGGACATCTGCCTGTGCGCTATTTGGGGCTTCCATTACTCACGAAGAGTATGACCGCGACTGACTATTTGCCTTTGTTGGAGAAGATCAAGGCTAATATAAATTCATGGACGGTTCGTCAGCTTTCTTACGCGGGCAGATTACAATTGATTCGATCGGTTCTGACCAGTGTCACCGCCTTCTGGTTATCTGCTTTTCGACTGCCTGGTGCTTGCATTAAGGAAATTGAGAAGCTCTGTTTGGCATTTCTATGGTCTGGACCGGTTTTGAATACTCACAAAGCAAAGATTGCTTGGAGCATCATCACAAAAGAGAAATCAGAGGGAGGTTTGGGAATAAGACCTTTAAAGGAGACAAATGTAGTTTGTGGGCTGAAGCTGATATGGAGGGTATTGGCTTGTCGAGAATCTTTGTGGGCTAAATGGATTCACACTAATCTTCTGGCCAAGGAATCTTTCTGGTCGATAAAGGATACGACGAACTCGGGGTCTTGGATGTGGCGTAAAATCCTTAAACTGAGACCTCTTGCAAAATCTTTTCATCGGGTGGAAATCAGGAGTGGGCGAGATACCTCCTTCTGGTGTGACCACTGGTCATCGCATGGAAGACTGTTTGACCTGTTAGGAGCTCATAGCTGTATTGATTTGGGATTCGACTAAATGCAACGGTGGAAACTGTGCTGAAAAACCATCGGCGAAGGAGGCATCGGGTTGATCTATTAAACAGGGTTGAGGAGGATATTGAGAAAACTCGCGCCTCTGCAAATTTCGAAGAAGCAGATATAGTCAAATGGAAATCCAAGGAAGACACATACAGACCTCGGTTTAACTCCAAAGCAACTCGGTTACTCATCAGAGAACCACAGACAATGTGTACTTGGGCGGAAGATGTCTGGTTCAAGCACGCCACACCAAAATACTCTTTCTTCCACTGGGTTGTTATGCAGAACAGATTGTCTACGGGAGAAAAAATGTTAAAGTGAAATGCAAATGTTGATCCGGCTTGTTATCTTTGTCAGCATCCGATGGAAACCAAACAACATCTGTTTTTTGGATGTTCCTACTCCTCGCAGATATGGACTGTTCTGGCCAAAGGCATCCTCAGGGAGAAATTTACCACGAATTGGGAGGACTTGATACATCTCACCCAAGCCGCATCTCTCACAATTGTGTCTCGATTCGTGCTGCAGTATACGATTCAAGCTACAATATATGGCATCTAGCAAGAAAGAAACTCAAAGCGACATGGAGAAGACCCTTCACCTCCGGTGAAACTTATAAAGATGATCGATAAAAGTGTGAGGAATCACTTAAGCTCCATCAAGCTTCAAGGAGATAAAGACTATGAAGATGGTCTCCTCGAGATTAATTTCTATCGTAAAATTTTCTTTCTTCTAAAATTAAAAAACAAATGCACTTGATGTAACACTGTTTTGATTAAATAAATTTTACATTCATTAAAAAAAAAAATGTTTGAATCAAGCCATCTCTTCTTAATTTTGTTTTGGTTTTAAGTTTTATGTAAACTGAATATACTATAAGAATCGAAATCTGTGATTTAATAGTCTGTATTAGCATGGCTGTAATGTTTCTGAACTCGAATTCATTAAATCAGAAAGTGTGCTTGTTAATTGTTTTATATTACTTTTTAACCGACCGTAATGCTTGCGTACATGCTAAGTCAAAAGCTATTGATGCATGAAAGGTTCACGTGGCATGGTTCCTCGCTAGGCTGATCTTCTCAGATACGTGTCACGCACAGGGATACTTACAAGTTACAAATACGTAACGATGGAAAAAATATGAAAAACACTAAATTCACACGTGGCAGCTACTGCTTTCGCGATGCTATCACGTGGCATCTCATCAAAACTAAAACGCTTGCTATAAACTCAACAAAGCAGCTCGAAACATTAATAAACACAACGAACAAAAATTCAAAAAAAAAAAGAAAAATCAAGAATCTATCAGAATATTTTCTTGGAATCCAAGCCAACGAGAGAAGAAACGAAAACAAACCATGGCGTCAGGACAACGAGAGGCGGAGAGAGCCGCCAAGGCCGAGAGAGCTGAGGCTGCGACGAGGCTCGCGGCTGATGACTTGAGAGACATCAACAAAGAAGGCGGTGTGACGTATAAGCTGACGGAAAAGACAACAACGACGACGGAGCATCCTACATCCATGGAGGAGGAGACGACGGAGAGACCTGGCCTAATAGGCTCCGTGATGAAGGCGGTGCAAGGAACTAAAGATGCGGTGATCGGAAAGAGTCATGATGCGGCCGAGTCAACGAGAAACGGAGCTGAAGTTGCATCGGAGAAGGCGGCGGGAGTGAAAGATGCCACCGCAGAGAAAGCCGTAGAAGTGAAAGATACTACTGCGGACAAGACAAAGGAAACCACGGATTACACGGCGGATAAAGCGAGAGAAGCTAAAGATAAGACGGCGGAGAAAATGGGTGAATATAAAGATTACACGGCGGAGAAGGCGAAAGAAGCTAAGGATACAACGGCAGAGAAAGCAAAGGAAATGGCGGATAAGGCGAAAGGAGCTAAAGATACGACGGCAGAGAAAGCAAAGGAAACGGCAGATTACACAGCGGATAAAGCTAGGGAAGCAAAAGATAAGACGGCGGAGAAAATGGGAGAATATAAAGACTATACGGCGGAGAAGGCGACAGAAGGGAAAGACGTAGGAGTGAGCAAGATCGGTGAACTGAAGGATAGTGCAGTGGACACGGCGAAGAGAGCTATGGGTTTCTTGTCAGGCAAGACAGAAGAAACCAAGCAAAAAGCTGTAGAGACCAAAGACACTGCCAAGGTATTATTGGCTTAGCTTTGCTTACATCCAAGAGTATATATATATATATATATATATATATATATAGTCATGTGATTAATCAGTTATGTACTTACAATCGTTTGTTGTTTAATCAATAGGAAAAAATGGACGAGGCAGGAGAAGAAGCTAGGAGGAAAATGGAAGATATGAGACTTGAAGGCAAAGAACTCAAAGACGACGCTGGCCAAACGGGCCACGAAAAGACCGAGTCTGCCGCCGGAAAAGCACGTGAGATCAAAGATTCCACCACCGAGAGGTATAAATAAATTCAAAGTTGCAACAGTTGGATAATAGGGAATTTCAAATAATGAAGTTAAATGTGAAAAGGAGTATTGTAAATGTGATTTGTTTTGTAGAGGTGAAGAAGGGAAGGGGACGATAATGGGTGCGTTGGGGAACATGACGGGAGCGATAAAGAGTAAGCTGACTGGTACGACGCCGTCTGATGATGAGACTCGCGCGGCGGCGCGTGGAGAAGAAGAACAAGGCTTGGGGAAGACGACTGTGACCGTTGACGTGAAAGACACGAGGCCTGGACAAGTGGCGACGTCGCTGAAAACGTCTGATCAAATGACTGGTCAAACATTTAACGACGTTGGAGTGATGGATGAAGAGGCAAGTAAGGGAAAAGTCACCGTGGAAGAGAAAGGCAAGCTGTAATGTAATAAAAACACTGCGTTTTTTTAGGCTTTTGGCTTTTGTATAACGAAAGATTAGAAGTTTCTTTTTCTTTTGTCATAAGGCTTTTTCAATCTTGATTTGTAATAAAAAATATATATATATATATATATATATCCTCTGTTTTGCGCTTTTAAGGTCTACAGTTGTTTTGTTTCTCAGATGGTGAAATCAGTAGGACAGATTATCCGATTCTGTTGTATGGCTGATGATGCATTTGAGTTTCATCGTTAAGTAAAAGAACAGTTTACAATGACAGAATTTCTTGCTTGTATTTGCCTTAAACATGTACTTATTTTAAATCCTGATAAATTGGATGAAAAACAAAGGTTGCTTTCGAAAACCGGAATTGTACAACCGTAATCAACATTATTAGCTACTGAGTTTTCTCGGCATCAGAATTGTAGTAGATGTATATATATCCAATCAAAATATATGTTAAATGTGAATAATGGTACTTGGAATCGTGAAAGTACAACAAACAGTATATCACTCTGCAGATACGAAATTTTCGAGAGCTCAAGTTTTTGTCTTTCTATTAAACAGCTTGGGATGGTTCTGGCTTCAAGTTCTCATTGGCACAGGACGCGATTTTTAAAAATCACAATTTGCCCTCGCTCAATCACGGAACAGAACTAAACAGGCAAATCTCTCAGTAAGTCAAATTGCTTGCTTAAGAGAGGAGCTTTGGCTCGTACCTGGTTTGGATTCTGAGGATGATATGGCGACGTTCTCCATTTTAGCCTCGACAGCTTCTTGCTCCTCGTTCTCTCTCTTCTTTCTCTCTGTATCAAGCTTGGCTTCGGGTTTTTGGTCTTGAGGTGAGAGTGAAGGTTCTAGAGAACGAGGACCAGAGTTGATCCAGGGATGTAAAAGACACTGAGACGCAGTTGGTCGTTTCTCCGGGACGAAATCAAGAATCGAAACAAGAAAATCACTCAAGTCATTTGCATCTTGCTCACTGAACTCGTACTTCTCGGTAAGGACTTTGTTCATGGGCCAGAAACGCAGTCTTCTGATGTGTCGAAGATCACCATGCCTATTGAAGAAATCTCTGGAGTAGCGGCCTCCTAAAGCTATCTGCAAACACACAACAGAGTAAGAGTTGAAATTTAGGAGGCCTTAGTAGTTTAACAGCCTGCTAATGACTCTAATACCTTGCGTGGCATCATTCCGAGAAGCTCCATCATCAAAGCCAAGTGGTCCTGTTAGCCAGAAAATACCGAATTAGCTTCGCTACATAAATGTTAAAAGCAACAGCCCACTGCTACATAAATGTGATAGACTCAGAAAGCCAAATGCACTATTTATCTCCCAATGAAAGAGAAACAACAACAAACAATATCTGAGATAACCAAAAGGAAAGTGGAAGAAAACCAAAATAGTTTAGGGTTTGTTTTCGAGTCTCTAATCTCCCTAAAAGACCAAAGGCTCCCAATTATAGTGCCTATCAGTTAGATTCCCCAAAGTAACAGAAAATAAAGTGAAAAGAACTGAACGCTCATTTCCACCAAACACGAGAAGAGAACGCTAAAATATGTCGATACCATGCAGCAAAAAGACGGCAGAAACTTAGGCATACCTCATCTCTATCATAATTGTCTCCACTATGGGGATCGAAAAGTACATCTCCAGTGGCAAGCTCAAAACATATGCACGCAAAGGACCAGAGATCTGCCGATGTCGAATATTTAGATCCAAGGATTACTTCAGGACACCTATACTGTCTCGTTTGAATGTCGCTGGTGAACTGTTTGTATGTCCAACACGCATTACCAAAGTCAACAAGTTTACACTTGAGGTCAACAGATGCCACAAGGTGCCTTCTACTCGTTCGACTCCCTTTCTTACCGCCTTGCTTTACTTTCTCGCAGCCATCTAATCCATTAGTGGCAGAAGTAGAAGGACAGTCTTCTTCAATCGATTTCTCTGCAACACTCAGTTTTCCATTAATGGATGATCCCACTCCGTGAACTTTGTCAGAATCAACAATGCTCTTCTTCTCTGCACTTCCCTGAGCCGAAAGCTTTACCTTTCGATGTACGTCTTTCTTTTGACTCCTGACAAAATCTCCATTGGAGTCAACTGTCTTATCCTTATCAGTGGGGAGAACAAGAGGAGCTCCAGACTTCCTGGGATCTTTCGATGGATCAATCGTTGACGGTAACAAGACGTTTTCAGGCTTCAGATCAGTATGTATGATGGAGAGCTGTTTATGCAAGTAGTCTAATCCAACCAACATGTGATAACAAATCTCCTTAACCATGGCAATAGGCAAGCCACGATAGTCAGAATACTTTATGAGGGTTAACAGATTATCTCCCAAGTACTCAAAAACCATACATACATGCTGCCCATTCGGACCTGAGTGTTTGAAATGATCCAAAAGCTTCACAACACATTTGGTATCATCAGTATCTCCCTCTGCAATCTGTTGCAGTATGGTGATCTCATCCATGGCAGCTTCAGTATAGTGCTGAGCACTCTTTTGAACCTTCAAAGCCACATATCTCTGTGCATTCGACGAAAATCCGATAAAGAGTAAGAAATCACACAAACAATCAAAGCAACCAAATTAACATCCAGAGGATTTCATATAGCAGTCCAAACATCTTCAAAGACACCAAACAAACCAAATAAGAAGAATACATAACAAAAATTTCCTTTTGTTCACTAGATGAACAAGAACCTCTTAACTTACAGAAGATTGAGTGTCCCAGGAGAGCCAGACAGTGGAGAAATGGCCCCAGCCGAGTTTGCTCTGAACAACGTACCGACCGTTCTTGAAGGAGTCTCCGATCCTCACGGCGTGGTAACCGCCGCGCCGGTAATCCTCCGTCCCTTCGTCCTCCGACGTGTATTCACCACCGTCGCTGCTTCGCTTATCCACCTCCATATTCACCGATCCAGACGCAATGGGAGACAAAAACTATCTCTATCTCTACTCTAGGAAAATCCGACGACGATTGAATCCGATATTTTGGATCTCTCTCTCTCTAGATTTTATTTTCTTCTTTCTGGAAGCTTGTGCAGAGCATAGCTGCTTCTTCAAACTTTCATCTACCTTTACGATACGTCGCCGTTTTTTGAGCTCCAGCGACAAAGTTCCCTCTACCGGCGGCTAATGCGAAAAAATGATTGAGCAGATGCTGACGTCATTACTAATTATGTATCGGATAACAAAATTATGGGCTTGTCAAATGGGCTATAAAGTGTGGGCTAACGAAATTAAGTATATATACACGAAAATGGCTTTTAAGGTGTTGTGAACTCTCGTTGTCGTCTCTTATATAAAGAAATCGATTGAATTAGGGTTTCTAGTCTAGGGTTTCGGGAGCAGCCTGAGGAGGAAGAAGAGGAGCAGCAGTATCAGCAGCCATGGTTCTCAAGTAATCAAATCTCCCCATTTCTATTTTGATTTGTGCCTGCTGTTTCGCCTAATTGAGATCGCTTACTGCAATGATTCATGATTTCAATATCAGAAAGATCGATTTAGTGAATTGGGATACTATTTTTTTCAATCCGATTTTGTGATGTCTTTTACTTTCTCGATAGTTTGGTAGTCAAAATCTGGGTAATCTCCTGGGTTTCTATGCGAGGATGAGATTATGTTCTGCTGAAACTCGATCTGGTTCAGCACCCTCTTTCCCCGTTGTAGCATTTCGCCACCATTTAATCCATTTTCCTAGTTATTTCTGTGATGATTTATGAAAGCAATAAAACTTATTCGCGTGAGCTGTAGACCCATTATTAGTGGTCTTGATTTGGTGTTAAACGATTCATTTCTATCATGTTAGTCTGAGATATATCAATCCCAGTGATCATTTTTCTTGTTTATCGAGCTGCTTTGTCTCATTCTTCGATTTTCTTTGCGATGCAGGACGGAACTTTGTCGTTTCAGTGGACAGAAGATTTACCCAGGAAGGGGAATCAGATTCATCCGTTCTGATTCTCAGGTAGCTCTTTTCACAATATTGGGATTATTAAACTGATGTTTATAATTAGCAAACTTTGTAATCTTAGTCTCATAATTGTCTGTATTGTTTCCATGGTTCGTCAGGTTTTCTTGTTTGCCAACTCTAAGTGCAAAAGGTATTTCCACAACAAGTTGAAGCCGTCCAAGCTTACATGGACTGCCATGTACAGAAAGCAGCACAAGAAGGTAAATTATTGTGTTGTGGATTGAAAAGTTCCTGATTTTGCAATAGTTTTGTGAGTATCTATGATCCTGCTTTGGACTATGAGAGTTATCCTGACCAGTAAACTTTTTAAATTCTGTTCTTATTAGGACGCAGCACAGGAGGCTGTGAAGAAGAGAAGACGTGCCACCAAGAAGCCATACTCAAGGTCCATTGTTGGTGCTACCTTGGAAGTGATTCAGAAGAAGAGAGCTGAGAAGCCAGAAGTTCGTGATGCTGCAAGAGAAGCTAATCTGCGGTCAGTTTTTCTCTTTCCATTGATTTCTATTAGAATAACTCTTTGATTATCAAAAAGAGTGATTGCCTCAAGTGAATTGTGATGATCCTACAGTGAGATCAAGGAAAGAATCAAGAAGACCAAAGATGAGAAGAAGGCTAAGAAGGCAGAATTTGCTTCTAAGCAACAGAAGATTCAGGCAAAGGTCCCCAAGGCTGCTGCTGCGAAGGGTCCTAAGTTGGGAGGTGGTGGTGGCAAACGTTGAAGAGCCAAAGCCATCTCTCTCTTACTCTGTGTTTGCTGCTAGTCGTTGGTTACTTTTATTAGTTAATGATGATTTCAGAATATTCTGCAAAACGTAAACCTTGTTATTTGCTTTTGTTTTCTACTTTTTGCTACTCTTATAAACTTGGAGTTAAGAATTTTGCTGCTTATGAACTCTCTCCGTCTCTTCTGTTATATTAACTTTTAAGCTTTTTTCTCAAATCCCCAATAATGAGCTATTATGGTACATTAGAACGATTCACACAAGGAATGAGCTATGCATCATTGTTTAAGTTGCTGTGTGAGAAAAGAATACCTTGATTTTTAGTTTTTTTTATCACTAAAGTCAATTTATTTCAACAAGGTTTATCGTTATTGCTGCTCAATAACAAAAATAGTAAATCAACTCTTTCGGAATTTCTCACGGGTACATAACATAACATATCTCTTTAATGATTGTTGTTCATCCATGTTCTACACTCTACATGAACAACCTTCTATACAAAGGAAGCATGAAGTGAAGAAAGGGAATCCATCATTATTCTCTGCAGAAAGTAAAAATCCAATTTAGCTTCCAAAAATATAAATTTCATTTTTTTTTTGTGGAAATTTCGGTTTTATGGATTTTGACATTGGATTACGTCATTTTGTTATGATATCAATTTTATTTTTATATGTCACAATTTTACCGTTATAATATGGTATTAATTAATCAATGATTAAGCCATCTTTAAAGGGACACTAAAACACTAAATAAAGTGTAGTTTTTGCACGCAAAAAATCTCCGATAAGACACTAAAAATGACATCAAATATTATGTAATGAATAGTATTACACCAAATTTATGTAATAATATAATAATAGTTAGTAATGAAAATCATAATTATTTTGTGTCTTTTAATTTTAATTAATACACAATTGATTTCAAATAATAAAGAAAATCTTTAATGAAATATTAATTTTTAAAAGATCAGGTTTGCGTATGAAAAGGTACCAGCTAATGTCTAAAGGCCGGACTAGTTATCCTTCTTTATGTAGAAATGGAACAAATATCTTTAAGTAAATAAGAAGAAGAGACAAAATAAGAAGAAAAATAACTTTAACAAGAAAAACTATAATAATAATAATAACATTATTCTCTCTTGCACCTTACTTCAACTCTAATTTGGATCTCGATCTCAATCTCTAAAACTTCGAAAACAATGAACAATATATTGTTCTTCTTCTTCCTCGTCGTTTTTCTTCTATCTCCACCACAAATCCAATCCCAAACCATCCCAAGTAACATCAGCATTTTCATATTGGCCGGTCAAAGCAACATGGCGGGTCGAGGCGGAGTTTATAACGACACCGCCACAAACACCACCGTGTGGGACGGCGTAATTCCGCCGGAATGTCGATCAAACCCTTCGATCCTCCGTCTCACGGCCAAGCTCGAGTGGGAAGTAGCTAAAGAGCCACTCCACGTTGACATTGACGTTAACAAGACCAATGGTGTTGGACCAGGGATGTCATTTGCAAACCGGGTAGTTAACCGGTTTGGTCAGGTGGGTTTGGTTCCTTGTTCTATAGGTGGGACTAAACTAAGCCAATGGCAAAAGGGTAAGTTTTTGTACGGGGAGATGATTCGGAGGGCGAAAGCTGCGGCAGTGGCTAGTGGCGGCGGCTCGTACCGGGCGGTTTTGTGGTATCAGGGTGAGTCGGATACGGTGGATATGGTAGATGCTTCGGTTTATAAGAAGAGACTAGTAAAGCTTTTCAATGATCTGCGAAGTGATTTACATCAGCCAAATCTTCCTATTATCCAGGTACGTTGCATAAAACTAATGTCAGTTCAGCTCTGCTTAGTAATTAACCCGCAAAATATCAAAATAATTATAAGGTTTTCCTTGTATTATATTTTTGTGGAATGTCGATTTATACTTAGCGAGTCCGTAAGTTTAGAGACCATTATAAACTGGCATTCCACTATTTTATTAATTGGTAATATATTGGAATAGTTAAAATTTGGAAAGTAAAAGAAAAAAATAATTAAAGAATCATCAAGTGAGAAAATTTGCGAAATGACGGCTTTGAAGTTATTTTATCCATTTCACAAATATTTTTCTTATCACAAATCATTGTCCTAATCCAGGCTGTAGTAAAACATTGTACCAATCCAGCTGTAGGTTGTATTGTTTTCAACTTGACTTTTGGGTCTTTGCCCAAAACTACAGAATAGACAATGAGAATAGATTCGTCTAATGTGTTTTTTTTTTTTTTTTGTTATTTTGTTGTTTTGGACCTAAACAACAAGAAAAGGTGGCTCTAGCAACAGGCGCAGGACCATATCTTGACGCAGTGAGAAAAGCTCAGTTGAAGACTGAGCTTGAGAACGTGCATTGTGTTGACGCAATGGGCCTATCTCTTGAACCGGACCGTTTGCATCTGACCACATCCTCTCAGGTGCGGCTCGGTCAGATGATGGCTGATGCTTTCATAGCCATTCCCAATTCAGCCCAACCACTACTCTATTGCTTTTCTGTCCTTGTTCTGTTTCCGCTATTTTTCTTATAATATTGTTGGACCCTACCTTACCATTTTTGGAGTACATTTTTTTTTTTCTTTTTTAGATTCGTCATGATATTTGGTTCAACTTACTATAGAAAATCTTGAAGTTTTGGTCACTTTAATTACTTTTTTTGTTTAAATGAAATTTATCTTTATTTCAAAATGACATCATTTTCTCGTTTAGTGTTTGAGAATCCAAATACTAGTATCTGGAACCAATTTACAAAATATGTGATTTAATTATCTATACATGGATTGATCATTGATGGATCTAAGAATCTAGGATATCCTATTTTATTTTTAAAGTGAATCATAGCTTCAAAAACAAGATACCTTGTCCACTCGTAAACAGCATTATTGTCTGAGAAAAAAAAAGGATAATGTAGGTTATACACAAAATGAAAAACTATTATATTCACATCTTAAACATATTTCGCTTCCGTAGCTCTTTATCTTGACTTATTATTCATTTTGTATTATACATCTGTATTTTCAAATAATTTATTTTATCTTTTTGGATTGTTCAAGCATTTGGATTATTGTATAAGCTCGATTGAATTATTCGATTCAATCCTATGCCTTACCACAAAAAAAAACACCAGAGAAATAATTAGAAGAAACCATACACAGAATACTTGTAATTTCAATATAATCTTGGTTGGATAGAGTCATACAGATAATCTTGGTCATCCAACCTATAAACATGGGAATACAAAAAGGGTTCTCTCACCTAAAATATGTAACAAAATGAGTATGAAGTAAAAATAAAACAAAAGAAAAACTCGATGAAATGCACAACAATAAAATGAAATTTACCGTGTCGTCGACACGATGTACCCTAATTTCGGGAAATATCAAAAAAAACGACGACAAAAGTACTAAGAAAATTAACATCAGTCATCATTACCTTCAAACAATCAAAAGGTTGTTGGTGTGACCTTTGTTCTTCAAGCTTGTTTCACAAAAGCCTTCTTTCTGTAATCTTTCAAATCACCAATAGGGTTTATGAAGACCGAATCAACACATAGCCCGCCTTTCGAGTGCGTGCAGTCAATCTGTTTCATGGACCATTGGATCTCAGTCGTTGGTTCTGAACCAGTCACTATGAATTCTCCGACCCTATACTCGATCCAGCAACCGCGCTTGTGTTGCCCGAGTGCTTCTTCTCTCTCAACATCCTCCAAGTAATATTCACATGATGCTGCTTGACCATCAGAAGTCGAGAGCGAAAATGTTACAGGCTTTACATCCCAACCGTGAGTGTGATCGAAGTGGCACACGCGTCTCCCCAGCCTTTTCGTGAATCTCCCTAGATGGATTCTGAAGGATAGAGAGTATATACCAGGTGGGAGATGGAATCTTACTGTTCCATCAACTTCGAACCACCAAATCTGCTGCAGGTAGGCTACAACATGGAATCTGTTCAAGGGAATATTCAAAAAGGATTTTACTTTTTGTTCCACAAACATAATTAAATATGAAAGATAAATTGATAAATGCATTGTTTTTATCAAGCATTAGTAAAATCTTAATGACGAGCTAAGCTAAGCACCTGTCTCATGCTTTAATGCGTAAGGCCATCTCACACAAAACCTGATGTTAATTAACATGCTCACCAGACTGATTTAGTTTATGTCACTAGCCTAACCATTTCATAGGTCGAGATGAATCATCACATAACAGCACCTCAAATCCACAATCATAAAGAGTAGGCAAGAACACCTATTTCTCTATATCCACTATTCATCAAGACTCAAAAGCAGAGTCACCCCCTCGCAAACTAAGAGTGGTGAAATGATTATGTCACTAGCCTAACCATTTCGCAAAACCAGAAGAATCATCACTAGAGTAGCACAACAATCATAGTAATTAGGCAAGAACATCCATTGTCTGTATTAGCTATTCATTAAAACTCAAAAGCAGAGTCAAACAATAATCCTAACACAAACTTTTCAAGTCTTAATTGATGTGCTTAAGAACTAATTGTTAAAGAAAGAACTGAGATACCAAGGATCAACAGCTCATGAAATTTAGCTCAAATGACATTATATCACAAAACAATTATTGTGCGATAATCTTGACATGTACTTGTTTGATCTTCCAAAAGTTCTATAGCGAATTTGCGATTCAATAAGCTTTTGTGTACCTAGATTCTTCCGTTGGCATCCAGTTCCAATATCTACGGTCTTCAATCCCAGTTATAACCATTCTTCTGGCCGAAATTGCCATACAAACCCGTCCTGTAACTTTCTCAATCCATAGTTCCTGGAAAAACACAGAGTTCATATCATCAATTTGAAACTGTCTTCAGAGAAAATTCTAAGAAATCATGGAAACGAAACCAAAACTCAAAAAGCCGAAATTAAACCACCAGAGCAAAACCCTAATTCCCAAATCCAATACATCGAGAGCGCACAAAGGAAAAAATCGAACTCCCAACAATACCTTGTTATCATCGTCAAAAGGGATTGGACGAGAGAGCAGAGCGAAAATATCTTTCTTCGAGAGACCATGATACCTCTCCGGCGGCAATAAATCAAGCAGATCCTGGTAATTCGGCGGGAGCTTCTTCTCCCACACAGAATCCGACGAAGCCGCGCCGCGAAATGAACGATTCAGGCCAGCCAGATTGCAAATCTCCGGCGGCGTCAGGTACATAAAGACGGAGGCGACGCAGCTCTCCGGTATATCGCCGAGGCTAGGTCCCATAGCCAAACCATTCGTCCCGTCGTTGAGATTCGACAAGGACGAACCCATACCTCTCTCTCTCTCTCTATTCAAACCTTGCTCGTCCTAATAGTTGACCCAACTACACAACACAACACAGCTCCCTACGGTATATCGCAAAACGCAATCGCTTATACGCGTTGAAAGGATAATCGATGACGATCAAGAGCCATGGCGGCGAGACAATACTCTTTATGAAGATTCCTATAAATGTATTGCTCTCTCCGCCTCTCTTTCTATCTCACTGGTGATTTTCTCGGAAAAATCTTTGGACAAGCCGAGAAACGGACATAGTGAGGGAAAGGTATTAAAGGGATTATAGAAAAAATAAAAATAAAAAAAGAGCGGAAAACGGTGACGTGGGAAAGCTAAGATCAGCGAAAGGTACTGTTGCCACGTGGCGGCGCCGAACAATCGTGAAAAGTCCGTTCATTTGGGCTCTGATTGGTAACCTGCAGAATGGTAGAATTGCGTTTTTAAACACAATTCCGCAGATTTTTTGCCAATCAACAAAAATCCGCGTAATGAAAAAAAACATACAAAAATGCAGACTGCGTTTTTGCCTAACAAAAATACAAAGGAAAAGTCATTCCATAGAAAAACGACTTATAAGTCGATTAATCTATTCCGCAAAATTTTTTCCGCAATTCCGCCATTCCAAAAAATTACCAATCAAACCCTTGGTGTAAAGCATTTGGACGGAAGAGGAATGTAATTTATTTATATCTGTCCATTAAAAAAATTCTTCCAAAGCAAAATATGTATTCTTTCTTTCTTTAGTTTTTGTATGATACGTGTAATTGGATTGGCGTAAGTTTTATTTTGTTACAATCAAAACTGGTTTCACAAAACACTTTTACATTTTTCTTCGGTCAATTCGGTAATTCAAAAAAAAAGTTTTATATTTGATTAATTGAATTTCGATTACAAATGTTTGAACTGAGTACAATATTAATGAGCTTTCAATCCCTCAAGAAAGTATTCATTCTCTCTATAGTAATCAAGCTCTTTATTTACAGTACATTAAGAAAGAGCTTAGGGTTCTATCCCTCTAATCTCCATCGCCTCTTGTTGTTGGGCCTAATTGTCAATGGGCTGCGTCACCAGATCGAACCCACTTCAGTCGAGATTTTCATAAACCAGAATTAATTGGACCAATTTCGGTTTAAATCAGTCTGAACCGGGTAATGGAACGTACCACTAACAATCACTCGTCTGATTAACTAGAACATAAACCATTCAAAAAAAAAAAAATAATAAACAGTTTTTACAAGTTTCTTCCCATTTTTTTTTTGTTAACAGCCTCTTCTCCTATATCGAACTGGTTAGCTATGCCAGTGGAGAGGAGTTTACATATATCATATCTCCTGGGTAGACTCTAACGCTGTGTGCTAATGTGTCCGCCGCTGTATTCTTTGCTCGTGGTATATGGTTCAATGTAAAATATTGGAACTTCTCCCTGCATTTCTGGATTTCTTTTAACTGTAAGGTAAATGCTGGTCATTCCTCGGGTGCCGACACCATCTTCACCACATCAAAACAATATGTTGCAAACACCACTTTTCTTCCCATTTTTTAAACAAATTTAATAATCTACAGCTAAATTCATCACACTGTGACTTCTTTAAAATTGTTTCTCCATCTACAGCTTGTTCTCATTAATGAACTTCATTTTGATGGTAAAATCCACAATTAAAAAAAAAGGTTTTGTAAGTGATATCTCCAATGCAAAAAATTAGTAATTGTTTTTCTTAGTTGTCCTTGTAAGAAATGATTAATCACTTGATTGTTGTTTTATCATTCATATATAATTTAGGATTATGATAAGTACTTTGTATTTTTCTTATTTTGTGTGTAGCATCGGTTAAAAGCTAATTATATGAAAGATGAAAGATCTAACTAGTATTCAGTAAAAAAAGATAAAATATTCAAATTCTTACCAACAAACAATCGAATATGCTAACTAGCAGTATCAAATTTGTATTCATGTCTTTAATATCATTCAAGATTCCATCTCATTTTGATGTGAAATTGCTAATATCTTCCGAGCTTTTAATTAATTCAATTTTAATTTATGTGGTAACTATTATTTTCTTAGCTGTTTACATGCAAGCTAGATATTCAGATATTTTCAATGAATTAATTATCTCATGTAGAGTCCTATTCAGTTTTGATATCTATTTAACTAGTGTGATTAATGTGGGGGTTGAGATAAACATAAACGTATAGACTGAGACCGTTTGATGTTATCAGAATTTACAACGAGTTGTTGTAAAGTTTGGGAGCATCGTTATCAGTTATCACTCCGACATGGGATCGTTTTGATGGGAAAGTTCGGGAAAAAATAAAATCAAAGACAAGTCAAAGGAAAAAACATCAATGATCTCATTGATAAAATCATAACTCATGATCGAGCGTGGATGTCTAACTTTCAGTAGAATTGTTGGTCCCACAATGTTTAGCATGCAAAACCAATTAAGATTAATTGAATACCCACCATATACATTAAGTGCATCTAAAAAGAATTGATGCAAAACAATTAGACAGTACAGTATTTAGGTGATGTACAGCGAATAGTTCCTTTCAATTTTTCGGGTTGAATTCCATAATATATAGATTTTCTTTTGTTGTATACATTACCAATCAAATGAAATTTGTAGCAAATTATCGGTAATCCATTTTCCATAACATATGGTTTAGTTACTTGCAAATGCAACACGCATATTTGGGATCACGATTATGTGCAAATTTTTCAAAGAAAAAATAAACATAAAATCTAACTGAAAAACTATTGGATTAACGACGATTTTCACTAATAAAAGTTTGTTATGTTTTTCTGATTTGTCTTGCCCAAGTATTTTTATTTTTCTGATGGATATTTTGTTTCTTTTTTCTAGAAAATATGTATTTAATGAAATATAATATATATGATGACAAAACACTATCAATCACCACTTTTGTCCTCGCTGATTTTCCCTACTTAATATAATTGCAGACTACAACAGAGTGAAAAGAAATCGGTTGCACCCTTTTTTGACCCAAAAAACAAAAAGAGGAAAAACTGATTATAGAGTAGAAATGACTGTAGGAGGGAAGAGAACCAACAAAAAATATTAAATATTTAGGTAATCACTTTTAAAAAAAATGTTTAAGTATCAATCAGTAAAAAGAATATTGTTTAAAAATACTTATGAGAAAATAAAAATAAAATAGATTTTAAGTTTTTACACTCCAAAAATATGTATTTCTTTCTTTTATTTTATTTTCTGTATTGATACGTGTAATTGGGTTGTCGTAAATTTTATTTTGTTACCATTAAAACTGGTTTCACAAACACTTTTACATTTTCATTCACAATCACTCGTCTGATTAAACTAGAAAATAAACAGTTTTGAAAGAGACAAAAAAAATTAGTAAAGAAATAGTTTTTACAAGTTTATTCCCATTTTTTAAACGAAATTACAATGGTATAACCCAGGGCTACTAAATTCATCGGACAGTGACTTTTTAAAAATTGTTTTTCCATTTACAGCTTGTTCTCATTTTTTTTCCACAATGAAAAACTCAGGTAAAATCGTTTAAAGAATGTTTTTGTGGATAAGTGGAAATTTTTTTTTTCTGTAGATGGATAAATGAAAAATTTTCCGAAAAAAATTCTGAGATTATATCCACTTTAAGAAACTATATTTTTTTCCATCACTTGAAAAATATCTGAGTGGATAGTCTTGCAAAAAGAATTACAATGATGTTTTGGCCCGTTAAAAAACTGGTTCGAAAACCATTTTCAACTGGCTTGGTATGAATGATTTGGGAGAAAATATAGCCTCTTGCTCGAACTCCTCTTGCAAGACTATCCACTCAGACATTTGAATTTCTGGGGATATGGGAGAGAGTGAAATCCAAGAAGCTTTCCTGGAGGATGCAGAAGGCTTCCAACTCTGATAAGAATAATGGACAATCTGATAGTGATTCAGACATGTTTACCAGATCCATGCAATCGGATTGAAGGTGTACGGATAAAAATTTTCTATCTTTCACGCAAGACATAGTCCATAAAAGACTCCCAAATTCGGCATGAAGGGCCGATAGGCTTCTCCGACAGCCCTGAAGGCCAAAAGTCTCACGACCCCTCTCCTCCGTCATACTCCACCCGAACCCACTAACCACGCCGTTGCCTATGGAAGATGCATCAACCTGACAAATCGGGAACCTCTGGGCATCGGGTAGAGAAATCAGGAGCAAAGGAGTGAGCGAAGGCTCGTCTAATCCGTCCTCTTCTTCTTCCTGTTGGTTTGCAATCTTCCAACTTCCTGCTTTAACCTTGGCGTGGATCAAAGTATCTACTGAGAAATTTCTTTCTCGTTGAAAATCTTATCCCCGCGCTTTCCAAATATACCACAAGATCCAAGGATAAATATCCTTTTGAGGATCTGTCATGTCTAACTCTTTCGTTTTCTAAAAGAGAAAGCTCATATTTTGGTAAATAGAGGTACTTGCGAAGAGACCCGGAAGGGACGAAAAATCCGATAACAACCAGACTTGTAAAGCCGGGGGACATAAAAACAAAAGATGGTTAATAGATTCTTCAGGATTCCCACAACAAGGACAGCTCTTATCCGTTCCCATATGCCTATAGGTTAGGTTTTGGCAAATAACAATACATCCTGATAAAGCTTGCCACATAAAATGCTTCATTTTTCCAGGCGTCCGTACTTTCCAAACGTAGCTTTGAAGGACTGTGATACTCGGTTTCTCATGACATCCAAATTATGTTCAAGTTTTGTTTTACTAGTCAGGTCATATCCGGATTTAACCATGTATATTCCTGATTTAGTATAGTTCCACGTAAATCCATCAAGGATACGGTTCCTACTAGGTCTCAATCCAAGGATAAAAGAGACATCCTCAGGTTGGAAAAATTCTCTTAGAAGAGGCTAATTCCATTGCTTCGTATCTTGACGGATAAAGGAGTAAACTAACATGCATGGGTCTTGAAGTCTGATCTGGGGGTTACTCTTGGTGGACGGGCCCTAGCGTCGGGAATCCAAGGCTCACTCCATGCCCTCTTATTTAGTCTCGACCCTATCGTCTTCCTTAGTCCTATTTTGAGATACGGTTTTGTGGCCAACATACTCCTCCATCCATAGGATGGTGAGTAGACATTTTGATACGCTAACCGATTTTCGATAATATCTTCCTCTTAGCACCCGAGCCAGAAGAGATGAAGGGTATTGAATGAGTCTTGCAAGGCTAGATTAAAATCATTTAGATCTCTAAATGCAAGGCTTCCCATGTCTTGTGGAATACAAATCTTATCCCAGGCAATCCAGTGGATCCCAGTGCTAGATTGTTTTGAACTCCACCAAAAATTGGCAATGGCGCTCCGAAGTTTGTTTGTAACCCTTTTAAGAAGGAGAAAACAAGACATGACGTAAGTGTGGACGGCTTGAACCACTGATTTTATCTGAATCTCTTTTGCACCCTTAGAAAAAAGCCTTGCAGACCAATTATTAACACAATTACTTAGGCGTTCATGAACAAAAGAGAAGACCTTCTTCTTTGATCCACAGATTTGCTCAGGTAGGCCCAAATACATGCCCATACCGCCTTCTATAGAAATACCTATGGTATTTTTAATACTTCGTTTGAGATCCGGGTCTACTCTATTCCCAAACATGATGGATGATTTTCCTAGATTCAGTTATTGACCCGACGCCATTCCATAAGTGTTTATAATTCGAAGAATCTCCGCTCCTTGTTGGATATCCGCTTTAAAGGAAAAACAAGCTATCATCAGCAAAAAGAATGTGGGAAACTGGGGGACTTGCTTGAGCTATTTTCAGGCCAGAGATTCACTCCTCTTCCTATGCTTCTTTGAGGAGCGAAAGAAGGCTTTCTGTGCACAGAATAAAGAAGAAAGAAGAGAGGGGGTCTCCTTACCTCAAGCCCCTTGACGGTTTGATGTTACCTTGGTTCTCCATTAATAAGGACTTGGTATGAAACTGATGAGATGCAAAACATCAGTAAACTGACTCATCTCGATGAATATCCTAACTTGGTTAGGAGAACTTCAATGAAACTTCATTCAACTCGATCATATGCTTTGCTCATATCTGTCTTGATAGCCATAAAATTTTCTCTACAATTTGTGTTGGTTCAGAATGCGTGGAAATTTTCTTGTGCTAAAAGAATATTATCTGTAATAAGTCGTCTAGCTATGAAGGCTGATTGTGTTTACGAAATGATGTTTGGCAGTGTCTTTTTAAGTCGTTTGCATAAAAGCTTAGAGATGATCTTGTAACTCATGTTACACAAGCTGATTGGCCGAAATTCCCTCATTGCTCTGGTTAAATATAGGATCAAAAGTTCCAGAAAAAGTTTTTAACCTGTTTAACAATATCTTGGCGAATAAATAAGCTTTCTGGTCTCCTCCTACCTCCCCGTTTTTCATGATTTCTGGTAATCTCATTAAAATCTCCTATCATAAACCAGGCTTCTTTTCTGGTAGTGCTCATGCTTGTTAGGCGTTCCCAAACCTTTTCTCGATTTTATGCAACCGGATCACTATAGACGAAAGTCATAAAATTTTTATGTCTGTCTAGACTTGATTCAACAACAATCAAGTGCTCATCAGAATAGATAATAGAGATTGTAGGTTCATCTATATAAAAAGCGCTAAACCACCACTTCGATCTCTCGGTTCAACAGTGAAAACATGATCATATCCAAAATGAACTTGAATATCTTGCAGAAGATAACGATTATTTTTGATCTCCGACAAAAATAAAAACCTCGGTAAAGATTAAATCTTCCAACTCAAATCAATCATTGAATGGGTAAAACCCACCCAAAAAAAAAACAAGGAGAGAGTTGTTGTTCATCACAACATATTTGCCTTCTCCCTTATTGTTCCAAGAGGGTCTTTGTTCATATGTGCATATCCTCAAGGAAATCAGACAACCTATATAGACAGAATAACACTCCAGATATAAGTTGAAAAGTGATTGACAGAAGAAACTGACCGGTGGACAATTTGAAGGCACCAATACCTTATATCTTTTGCTATCACAGTTTGCCCATCTTCTGCATCCAGATGCCGCAGAACCACTTCCTCCAAACGACCATCATGATATGCATGCTGCAATCACACACAACCCCACTTTTGAGTTTTATAGGTGCACCCATACAAATGAACACCATTAAATATATATTTCAAGGGCCAAATAGTCAAATTATAATCCACCTAGACGACAAAGGCTACTACGATTTCCCAGTACCATATTATAGATATATATATGACCTAAGACTCTCACTCTAATAATATGGGTAGCTAATAGCTATCCTCATTGGAAGAGTCCTCAGATTCTATATCCATGTGCATTAGTAACATCATCATATCCGTTGTAGTCAGTTCATCATCGCCTGTATCTTCAAATCCAATAGGACCATATTCGCCTTCTAAGATTATGTTCCCGATCATATTAACAAGTGTATCCACGTCTGAGATGTTCGATCCAGAGGGACGTGGGCGCCTTGGAGGTGACCTATGGTATTTCCATACATATGACCCTGGCTTCACAGTGTGTTGGACCACAACAACATCCAATAAGGACTAATCAAACTTTCTAAGGACTTGGCGGAAAATTCTGCAAACCCACCCTTCCTTAGTTCACATCTATCTAGCCTATGATACTTCACTACTATTGATAATATATCACATTAATTCCCTACGCTTCCTTCCATAAAGACATGAAAGTTTTAGATGAATCCTCTATGTAAACTATGCGTAGACTCTTGGATTAATATAAAGCTTCAAGGCTACGATTATCAGGACACATTTTATCATTTTATAGATTTAGAACATCTGGAGACAAGTAAAGCTCAGATATAGACAATATGAAAGGAAATGTGAAACAGCAATGTTGTATCAACCTAGAGTTTTCAACAAGACGTTATTTATATGGTTCAAAATTGCTTTCAAACGGATACCAGAAAGTTTTTGCAAATGAAATCAAGGCAGCAAATACAGAACAACGAAACTTGTTTTCGACGTAAATTTTAAGCAGTCGTTTTCAATGAATACAAAAAAGAATAGAACTGACACATGTCAACTTAAACTATTACATCTCCGAATTCATTTCAATCAAAAGCTCTGCAAACATACTACGAAACAAAACTACTCCAAACAGCAATATTTTTTATTCACCCCTAAATTGAGAACGTTTGCCTATCAGTAAAAAACTGCATATGCATATTAAATTATATAATCTTGAACGTGCATGATTTAATTAGAGTTTCAAACATGAATGCATAGATTTACCTTGTAAAAGCAACTAGTCCCAAACGGACAATTCCCATCTCCGAAATTGAAGTGCTTACAATCAATTGACCTGGTAGACAAAGAGCATATATTGTATTCATATATACAAAGAAACATTCATAAAATGACTTGTTAAGCAAAGAGATTTTCTTCTTTTGCAATTAATCATGATGAACATAATTGAAAAAGAAAAAAATACCACCAGAAAGTAAAACCTTGTCCGTTATTAGTTGAGATAAGGAATGTTCAGAAAAGATATGATTTTACCTGAGTTTTTCCCTATAGTTGTTTATAATTTCTTTTTTCTCTTCTGGAGCTGAAAACCAGATTACACTAGGAACAACAAAATATGATAACTTGCGGCATATGGGACAAGCCCTCAGTGTGCTATTGACATCCATTCCAGTGGAAGGAGAACTGCTACGCCAATTCCTGATACATGCTATGCAGAAAGCATGATCACATTCAGTGAGTAGCCCAAACTTCCGTTCAGAAGGAGTTGGCTTAGACAATACACGTTCCAAACAGACACAACACTCGATCTCTTGGCTAAGTTTTAATGCTTCAAGCTGCTTATGCTTTTTTTCACACACCCTCTTGTGCTCGTCTCTCTCCTCAAGTCTGAAAGGATGCAAGCAATGTTTCCGACAAGTTGGGCAAATATTTCCATGGATGTGAGGGCATTCATCACCACGTGGGCAATCACCAGCAGCAGCATATGAGCAAATGGGTTGTTCTTCTGGTTTGGTTGTACCAGGGTTAAATGTGCTGACCTCGTCTAAGGAATCCTGGTGAAGAGAATCCAAATTCCACGCTGGTTTTAAACATGATGAGGAAACTGAGCTCAAAGCAAGAAGGTTGGAAGCAGAAGCAGGAGGTGATCGAGGCACGCCCGAGGAAGATGAAGCAGATGGATGAGGCCGAGAAGCTTTGACATGTTCGTACCTGCATCGGCTTCCATAAGAGCAGATTCCTTTCTGGTAGTACGTGCAAATCTGTGAAAGGATATTCGTTTCTTAGAGGACATTTAGAGTAGAAACGAATTTCAAGTTGATAAAATGTTGGTTCCCATATCTAAAGAACAAGAAAGATTAAAGCTTACATTGTTTGTAGGATCCTTCCAGTCATGTGAGAATTCACAGTTTTCCCCTTTCAAGCATGCACCATGAGCAAAGAATTTACAAAGGATTCTATAAGAGACAAAACAACAAAAAAGTGAGAAAAAACACAATGTTGGAAAAAAAATAATCAGCATCAAGAAAACAAACATCCAGAAAGATGAAACTATTTTGGCTAGGAAATTCTGACACATGAAAAATGTCATGATAAATTTCTTAGTCCAAACATTGTCCCTATATATGAATACATATATATATAAAAAATTATAAGAGCCCATCTCAAAGAAAGAAAGAAGAAGGTTCATAAGTAGAGACGGATTATCCCAAAATCATAACTTGTATTAATTAGCAATGAAAAGAAGTAAGTAAAAGGCGATGTGATGCATATTGAGAAGGGAGAGAGAAAGAACAATATCGAAAACAAATATGAAAAGGGTAAAGAACGGGCACCTCTTCGACATCGAGGATCGATAGATTCGTTGGGGAATCACCTGAAAAAAAGGCAAATTACAAACAAAAAAAAGGAGAAGAATATGTCTTATTAAGGTTTCGGATTTCGCGGCTGAGAGTCGCACCGGAAAGCAGGAGATCTTCTTCTTAATTAATTTATTAAGTTTATTAATTTATCGAGTATTAATTTATAGAGTTTTTAACCGAGGGAAAGGAGTCGAATTAGGGAACTTGTAGGAGAGGGCAAAGGGAGGGCAAAGGGAGGGAGTGTATACGCAAATAGTTTTCCGGATAACATGAGCTTTTGGTGGAAATGCAAACCATGGGGGAGATGGGGTTAAGTATCGTAGCAGGTTATCCAAATCCAAAAACCCAAAGAAGTATCCCCTTAGAATATTAACTAGATAAAATTTTCTAACCTGTGGTTAAAAAATCAAGGGCTAGACGATTAATCAGGCCCAAATACAGGCCCAACTGTAATGGATTGCACGCAGATTTCGGTTAGGGCCCCAAACTAGGATTAATATTCAAAGTTGAGAGATGAAGACCCCTATTTATAGTACAGCTTCCCCTTCTCAATTATCCAAGTTTGTCGATGTGGGACAAACCTAAAAACAAATTTTTTATTGGTATGGAAATGGACGTTGCTCGAAATGTCATTTTGTCTTGCCTAAGTATTTTTATTTTTCTGATGGATTTTTATCTTCTTTTTTTCTAGAAAATATGTATTTAGTGAAATATAATATATATGATGACAAAACATGATCAACCACCTCTTTATCCTCTCACTGATTTTCCCTACTTTAATACAATTGCAGACCACAACAAAGCCTTCATTTCTCTATGATAAAGTGAAAAGAAATCGGTTGCACCCTTTTTTGACCCAAAAAAAAAAGAGGAAAAACTGATTATAGAGTAGAAATGACTGCAGGAGAGAAGAGAACCAACAAAAAATCTTAAATGTTTAGGTAATCACTTTTTTCTTTAAATGTTAAAGTATCAATCAGCAGAAAGAACGTTGTTTACAAATACTTTGAGAAAATACAAATAAAATAGATTTTTCATTTCTTTACACTCCTCTCGCTTGAAACCACCTTTGAAGTTAGTCACTAGTAAAAGGTAGAATTCTTAAGCAAAAAGAAATGGAGAATGTAATAGCTTATTCGAATATTGCTAGACATTGTATACTGTTGATCGTAGCTTAAAGTTCAAGGTAACCAAATATAACGAAGAAAAAAGGGAATCACTAGGGACGTCAAATCTCCCAAGTACAAAAACCAAAAGTCTCGGAGATTAATATACTCACTCCGGCATTGGATCGATAGGAAAAAAATAACAAGTGTATTCCTCGAACAAATTTATTAATCCTCTAGCTCGATGATCTTGACGACAGATGCATCACCAACTTTCTGACACACAACTACTCTGTCATGCGACTTGATCACTCCAGCTTGCTTCCCATGGTCTAGAGCAACCTTCAGGACTGACTCGTTCGTCGCACTTGTTGATTCCGCCTGCAACAACATCATCACAGTTTTTACATATGTTACAAGTTGAACCCCCAAAAGTTACAATCATGAAACTCTTAAAAGACTTGTTTGAGCCTTTGACACGGCTATTGCCTCAACCAAGACATCAAACTCCGAGATGTCTTGAAAAGTGATATAAGTGTACCAAATTTGAGACTGTTTGCTTCTCTAATAGAGAGGAAGAGATAATATGCATAAGATAAAAAAAACAAAAAAAAGATAACAAGACTTACAGGGTGACGAGGGTCAGCAAGCATGGGGAAGAGGCCTCTGACAATGAGTGACTGCCTCGCCTGATAAGAGTCACACGGGTTAATAACTCAATAAATATGTGAGTATGGTATAATGATTATGTCCAACATTGATGACATGATATAAAGATGCTATGACATGGCAGTAGTTTCTAAACTTGAGAGAGCACGAGAACCAGGGGGGAAACATACCTCAAATGCCCCACTAAAGCTCCATTTTAGCTGATTTGTCTTAACCCGGGGAATGACAACAGAAATAACCGGCATTGTTGGCCTGTATTTGGCAATCAACCTGCACGGAGATTAAAGGAATAGCGTTTCATGAGGAAAATTTGAATAGAGTAAATGAAAGAAAAAAAACAGTTTAACGCAGAACGTATGCTATGAACCTGGCTGCTCTTCCAGAAGATGTGAAGCATATAATAACGGATGCCTTAACCTTGATGGCTGCCCGTACCTGATCAACCGTGAATTAAACTAGATTAGAAATTGTAATGGCGATTTGCGTCTTGATAACCAGAAAAAATCTAATCCTTTCTTATGTATCTGCAACACAGAAGATAGACTTACAGCTGAAGAAGCAATGGATTCCAAGTGAGTCATCGGTTCCCCAACATACTTGACAGTCTTCTTGAAGTACAAATCTTGATTGAAAACCTTCTCTGCCTAAGAACAGGTAAAGAAACTGTGTAAATGACAAGTAAAAATTTGGTTCCAAATAGTCGCAAGATGCATTGGATTTAGAGACGCAAGCAACGACATGATAGTACAGAAATATAATATAAAGCCTACCTCAGCACAGATCCTACCAACGGTGGATATTGTCTCAACAGGGTACAATCCGCGAAGGGTCTCAGCACCAAGAAGAATTGCATCACTTCCTGCAGGAAGTAAAATGGAAAAAGAAAGCCCAAGTTATGACAAGAGCTATGATCCAGACATAGGTTTTCCCACCATCATTTCATAAACCGAACCAAGCAGATTCTGCTATAAATGTTAGAAGCACCACAAAAGAAGCATATTCAAGGATTCATATACCATCTAAAACAGCATTAGCAACATCTGTTGCCTCTGCACGAGTTGGTCGCAAGTTGTCAGTCATACTGTCAACAACACGGGTAAGAACGGCTGGCTTTCCAGCCATGTTGCACTTGTAAAGGGCCGCCTTTTGAAACAAAAACACCTGCACCAAAACCCAACCAAGGTAATTAAAAAAAGAGTGTAATCCCGCATAAATCAATTTGAATGATCAACGAACATACCTTTTCCGGGGGTAGATCTATACCCAAATTCCCACGAGAAAGAATAATTCCATCAGCTTCTTGTAGAATGTCATCAAAGTGGGTTAGTCCCTACAAAATAAATAAAATACAGCAGCTTCATCATCAGCGAAAAAGAAAGATAAGTTATAGACACATAATAAATCAAAACAATGCACATACCTCTACGTTCTCAATCTTTGCAAATATTTGTGTTTGAGAGAGGTCACCCAACTTTTTAAGCATTTCACGGGTCTGTGTTATGAAACAACAATTGGTTATTACAAAGAAGGACGACAAAACAACCGAAGAGAAGCACACAAATACTGACCTGACGAACATCCTCTGCATGTCGACAATAGGACAATGAGAGAAAATCGATCTTATTTTGAACTCCCCATGTGCTTATAATCTATATGACAAACAAATCAAAACATGATCAAACACACAAACAAAAAAATTTAAGAATGTGTTAAAAAGGAAAAAAAAAAGGAGAAGAAGAAGCAAACTCTAACCTCCTTATCCTTATCCGTAAGAGTGGGCAGATCGATGTGAACTTGAGAGACGTGCAAAGTGAACAGAGACCCAGCAAGAGTAGCAGCATTCCTTGATAGGCAAATGACATCATCTCCTTTAACTTCATCAACCTGCAGGTTCATTCGGAGGTCGGTCTTACAAAACATACATCTAAATGTCCAAACTTTACCATAGAGATACCACCAAAGGTTCCATTAATCAGCTCCATATCTTTACCTCGAGCCACACTGACGTCGTTTCACTGCCAGTGAAGAGGTATTGCCCAACAAAGATAGTGTCTCCTTTCTTCACTGCCTGGAAACATCAAACAAGAACACCCATCAGACACCTATATTAGTAAACACTAAATCATTGATCATATAAGAGTTTTATATAACCTTGGCAAGTCCATGGAAATTAATGGGGAGGACTTCAGAAGAAGCTTCTTGGTCTTGATTAGGTGTCAAAGTTACAAGGCCGTCAGCTTTTAGACTAATAGATTTCTCAGATTTGTTAATAACTTGCAGCTCAGGTCCCACAGTATCAAGCATAACCTGAGCAACAACAAAAAAAAAGATATGTATCAAATCAGATGTATCTATCAAATCAAAGGATCCACTAGAAGAAAAACAAAGAAAAAGCAGAGAGAACATACAGCACAAAGCTTCCTAGTGCTCTTCACAGCAACTTTCAGATTATCTAGTGTCTCCTGGTGATAATCAGCGTCTCCCCAAGAAAAATCGAATCGAGCCACTTCCCAAACGAAATTGAAAGAAGATAATTAAGTAAGGATCAGTGAGACGAACCCATTAAGCAAACTTAAGAAATACAATAAATCGGCAAGTACCGGACATCCCGGCTTTGAGACAACCGGAGAGAGCCTCAACGGATCGGGATTTCGGACCGAGAGTTCCGACGATCTTAGTCAATGCTGGGAAGAAGCTCTGAGAAACACAATTAAAACAAAAATCAGAAAAAAACCTCTGGAAGCAAAAAGAATCGATTTATGGGCAATCGATCCATGCGAAATCGCAAATCGATGAAGAAATGGGAAAATTAAAACCCATAAAACTCTCACAGATTTCGATGGCTCGAGAATTGAAGCCATCCTGATCGGCTCCTCGAGAAGAAGATGGCTGGAATGCATCTTTGGTGACAGAGGAGAGTGGAGAGAGAGAGAGATCTCAGATGTCCGAGATTGAGAAAATTCGACGGGAGAGGAAGAACTGTGAGGTTTGGTGGCTACTTTATGCGATTGAGATTTGACCGTCGAATCTCTCCGTTTATTAACAACACCGTGTAATGATAATATCATGCATCAAAGTAATAGAAAAAGAAACAATTCGTAATTTTTTCCTTTTAACCTAAACATTCTCAATTTAATGCAAATTATACCCATACGTTTTATTTTACACCTTGAAACCTATTTTTTGGTGCGCTTTACCTTGCTTTTTCTTTTTTTAACTGAGTACATATAAGCAATGTTTTGATACCCGACCCGGACGGCGAACCAGAATATTGTCCGGATCCCGGGTTTCCGAGTTGACCCGGGTCAACCTTGGTTCGACTGTGGGTTGAATCTGATAATATTTTTGTATAGATATTTACAAAATATAAAAAGCTTTGGTGGTCAAAATACATAACTTCAATGGTAAGATAAAATTGAACTCCAAAATAAAATAAGCTTTCATATTAACTAGAGATGCAAATAAGGTAGGACAAAAACATGAAACCTGAGACAATATTTCTCAATGTCAATGTGTTCTGGTAAGACAAAAGTGTTTAAATTATACGTGGTTATGTTACCATTGCCTGTTAAAATTATACACAAAAACAACATATATCAATGAGACATATTGATTCTTAAGAGACGCAGACATGTGAATCAATTTTTTTATGATACAAGCATATTATGCATTGCACATAAAAACAAGAGGGCATTGCTAAAAAATAGGCCACAATTTGAATGCAAATG